ATAAATATACAGTGGCATATTGCCATTTAAATTAGTATAATTATAATTTTGGAAAAACCGATATATTTTCTTTAAATACTTCTTTCATTCGTATAGCTACGAAGGAAATGAAATCGACAGTGCCAAAGCAGCAGTTTAGAGGAAAATCTGAAAGAAAAATGCCAAAACTTTTAGCAAGTCCTACAGATAGACAGATGTCAGCCACTTGACCCAACTATTTAAACCAAGACATCTAAAATCTTGTCGAATTAAAAATAATGATTTATACGTCTTATATTGCATGTGTCCGTGTTAAATACTCATATAAGCATTGTTATCGATAATCCTATGTAAAGCTTACGTGTGTTGAGAGCTTACCCTCCCCGACTTATAATCCCAACCAATAAAATGATCACGGTAGCAGAATTATTCATGTTATTGACTTGGATCAGGCTTTTGATTCAATTGGCATTATTGAATAATGAGGAGCAAGCTTAATACTCGTTGGATGTTGACACTTAAACGAGCGCCACTGTTTGTCACTAGTCAGCAAATCACTTGCTCATTACGAACGCTCAATACCCGGATTAGGCTCAACCGTCATGCGATATTGGATGGAAACAGTTGTTAATTTAAACCAAATTGTTAGAATAAGTGCGCCTCAATATAAAGCTCGGAAAATGTGCTGTTATGCAACCAATTACAATTATAATATCAATGAATTTTGTATTTTCATAACATTTTAATGATAATTTCTATAAATACGATTCTCATTAGATGATATATTCAATTACAAAATATACATATTTGAGTATAAATCTCAGGTTTTGGTTTGAAAGTAATTAATAACCGTTCAGACGACGCTGTGTGGTAGTTGGCGTCTGCGTTGTGACAGGGTATTGTAACAACTTGATAAAAACATTGTTTTTGCCACGTAAACCCGCTCTCGAGCATGTAGACGGGGGTCAGATAAAATCTAATCCCCACAAATCAACTCTGAAGGCTGTGATGGATCTACCTTGTATTAAGGTGTATTTCGGGGTACAAAGTACTAGCAATACCCAAAAGGATTGGAACCTTTATAGCAGGTGGCACAGAGACACTATATGTTTCAAATGAAAAATTATCCTGTTGTTCCTTCCGAATTAAAACAAAGCTGTTTGTTTAGTTAATCATGCGATATCGCAAATTCCATTGTTGTTTTTGCTTTCATTTTGCTGATTAAACTCCCGTGAACAGACCGTAATTTGTCATTTTAAATATGCCATACAAAAATTGAGATGTCCCCGTTGTGGAACTCATAGATTATCTCCGTCATTTAATCTCCCTTTAAATATCCAGTTATGTTAATCAAAATAATTATATCATCAACGAAAAATGATTATGTTTTATGGACTTATATTTTTAAATATTTTATACACTGTTTTCTGGAGTGATGATAGTAATACCAGAGGCATGTCAACATTGAATTAAACACCTTTGGAATACAACTAGTCAATTAAAGTCGATGATGATTTAAAAGTAATCTGAGAGAAAGTTTGACACAGGTTTCATTAAGTCAGCGAAATACAATGTAAACTATATCACTATCGACAGCTAACAGATAGAATGACAAACAAATGTTTGGTCGCCGACCCTAAACAAAGGTCGTATACAGAAAGTCTGTGAGAGAAAGAACACGGGGCCCACCCAAAGGCATGGCTGGTCCATGTTACGCAAACTTGGGTCCATTAACACTATATAGATTCCTACTCGCACCTTAACAAGGGTACCCCAGCATCCATCATGTCAGTACTAATAAGGTAAAGAGCATCGAAATAGAAAACAGCAAACGCCAATGGCATCATTATCTTTTCTTCTGCAGTAATTCACCATGTCCAAAGCTCGAGATGAGGACTTTGATATGTGAAACATAAACCAGGCAACTTATGAACTCGTGTTATGACGTAAGACAATGGGTTTAGTTTTCAGATTCATTAAATCACCAAAAAGGCAAGCTTTACGAGGCTTTTATTATAAATGCTAATCATTCCACACTTGTGTTATTAAACGTTAAAATTACCTCTTTGGGGTGTAATTAAATTCAATGATAATTATATGTTACGATGATATATTGTTTATTTATGAAATACGCAAGATATTTTTTGTAAAAATATAACGTATACAATAAAGGTGATAACAATATAATTTTTATAATTTACTATAGAACATTTTTGGTGAATAGGAAAACTGCATTTAGTAAAATAATGACCTGTCAAACTTTAGGATTCTTGGTGCCCAAAGACATTAGATTCAACTTTGGAATTATATTTTTGGTATCATATTACATACGCGAAATATCCGATATGATCATATCAATACAAAATAGAATAACTTCAATATGTTTGTATATACTGATCAAAATAAAAAGAAGAGATAGACTCAAGTAGAGGCCATAAATAATGTGTGCCCCATAAATCTGACTGGTTGCTAAATAAACAAAGATTTGTTCAAGTGCTTAACCATAGAGTAAGGAATAGCTCTTCATTGTGTTTCATTTAGTGTTTTTGATATTTAGTCGAATATATTTCAAATTAATGATTGTAATTCGAATAACAAGATTTCATCACATGTGTCACCAAATGCCGCTACATAATTAAATTGTTACTAGGATGTTTTTTCAAAGGTTTAAATCGGAGAAAAGTATCCTAATTTTTCAGAATGCATTTGCCTATTCAAGATCAGTACATAAAAGCATATTCCCAAAGATTCAAAATTCACGTCTAGCCTTGAATATTATAGAGTGGAATACTCTATATTTGTTTATTCCTTTCGGCATTTGGTTATTTATCGTATATTATTACATACTATAACTTTATAAATCATACATATATATTATGAAGTGCACATTGATAACAAATTGTAATCCTGCAATGACCATCCCTCTATGATAACGTTACACATCTAAAACATCATACCGCGAAACTCTAAAGTCAGGTACGTCATCTCTACAAACAAAATTTAACTTCAATCTTAATAAGATAAAACATATATTAAACAATATTACCGACACGAACCAACGTTGGAGACGTTGTTATATAATTTGAAATTAGCCCAGGGGTCTGTTATAATTCCATAGTCACAAGAAGGTCAACAAGTGCTGTATTCACGCCACCATAGCGCAAAAAAAGATTATTCATTTCGTTGACATTTTTTATCATTTTTCAATCCCATAAATTTTATTTAAATGTTGATGGAGTTGAAGAAGATGTTATCTGCCCCCTGCTATATTCAGTTACTTTGAGCAGACTATGGTCGAGCAGTACAATACCATATTCAAGAAATAAATGACTGACTCTCACATTTCTTCAAATATGAATTCAGTACATTTTAGCAACTGTACCCCAAATAGCAACGGCACAATGTAAAACGATTTCTTGGATATTTCCTTTTGTTTTTCATGGATTAATCCGCGGAAATTATGATTTTTGCACTTCACTAGGCTCATCGACTACAATGTTTTAGCTAGGCTATCATTAACAAATTAGACAAAACTTTCTCCTATTCTAGCAAAACTTCATAATTGTAAACATAAATAAAGTCTATTAAACAACGTACAATTACGAACGCCAGCGTTTGGTGAAATATATTCCATAACGAAAACATCCCATCGTGTAACAAATTGAAACACGGAGATAGCAGAAAACTAGGTGTCCTGACTAATGTGAACTGTCTTATAGAAAGTTCATCAAATCACAGGGCCTACATCAGAAAGATCTTGAGCCTGATATGGTCAGACATTTAAGACTTATAGCCATGAGTCTAAGCGCTATGAATTGAAGAAGGTTCATACGATAAGGCAAGGTGTAATAATTTTGGGTGGAACCCATTTGATTCATCAGATAACTATAGCCATTTGTTCAGACCTGCAATACGTTATAATTTTTCACAGTTTCAATTTCTTAAAGTCCCATTTGGGTAGTATTTTATGGATATCATCATGTGCTAGCCTGTCCTTTATCTATCTCCATACCGATTTGGAGAAAGGGTTGCATCTTCTACTAGGTATTAACTTACGGGGGTCACTAGATTTGGCTTAAGACTATACTTGGCAGATATAGAACTTTCCTATACTTAGAATTTTCACTATTCTCTTTCGCTTAGTGATTTGCTTCACGGTATCTTATCGAATAGATTCATTCCCATTCATCACAATTGGTAGTGTACTTAGAATAGTAAGATAAGTCAAGGAAAAGTTGCAGACTTTAGGTAAGATTCTCCGATAAAACCGAGCACATATAATAAATAACAATCAACATATCCGCCAGAGACAAATAGTACAACAACAGATAACTTCTGACACTTCAACTGGAAATGATACCATGATAAGGCTCCCCACGCTTGGGATGTCACCCTCACATCGACTCCACTCCTCTCTCTTTCCAACATGTAAATTAGCTACCTGGTTTTCTGCCTGGCTTCTGGCAGGTCTCTTCAGTCTGGCCTGTCGATTTAATGTATGTTTGTCTTATGACTAACTTAGTTCCTCTCGTTGTACGTTCATTCTAACATATAAAATTCATGGGATGTTCGATAGTATATTAGGCATGTAACCACTTATAGAATATTTAACTTGGGTTAAGACTATAATGCATACCACGCATGGTTGATGCTTGTGAGATCCAGCAAGGTTCCATGCCTTTAAAATAAGTAGACATATAAAATGACCTTGTAGTGTTAAAACTTAGTAAGTCTACTTATTATAGTGTGTATGTTTTTAATGTATTTTAATCAAATGCCCAGGTTTGCAGTCTTGGTAAACGAATTACAGTTCACAGTTGACTATTTTATTGAATACTTTGTTTTCTTTTGGTCAAACTCCGTAAAGATTGTATGCAAAACGAATGTTTAACAAGTCGATAATTTGCTATGATGGTCCGAGTAGTCCAACATTATGTCGTTGACTTATCAGTTTTAGGTTTTGGTGAAATGTGCATTCAATCACAGATATTTCTAAAACGCTCTGTATATTCTGATTTCAGGAGGATGTTCCCGACAGTGAGAGTGTCCTTCAGTGGCTTGGACCCTGATATCAGATATGCTGTTCTGATGGACATTGTGCCAGTTGATAACAAACGTTACAGATACGCGTACCACCGCTCCTCGTGGTTGGTCGCAGGAAAAGCGGATCCTCCTCTCCCTACACGTTTGTACATGCATCCAGATTCTCCATTTACCGGTGAACAACTACACAAACAGACTGTGTCATTTGAAAAAGTGAAACTCACGAATAACATGTTGGACAAAAATGGACATGTAAGTGTAAGTCTTAATATTAAAATCACGATATTACCATATTCACAATTTTATCACAATCAAAAAAACATTACATTCACAAATCATCTCACGTTTGCAAACTTGTAACTACAGTCAAAAACGATTGGCGAAATCGCAAAGGAATTAGCGTCGACCAAAGTCAACCAGACAAATATATTGAACTGTGTTTGTGTAATAATATAACATTTCCTCGAGTAGGGTAGACTTTCGTCGTCACACCCATCTTTAATTATGGACCTGACATATATTTTGTGGTAAATTGAATAAGACACAAAGTTGTTTTGGCCACCCTATGTGAGTAGTTAGACTATGATGGATATTGTTTGTGTTTCTATGGAGACTTACGAATGAATACATCAGCAAGACCGTTTTAACGTTGAGGAAAAATCAGCTGCCTCTTTTTGCCAACATGTGTCTCATAACTGCCTCGTTGCAAGACGCTGGCACGTTTGTAGACTAGAACCCCAGCAGACAGCCTATCATAAATTAAGTACCAATTAGGAACTCTCGTTCTTGCCACCCGAAACGTTTTTTTCTATGTTTCTAAATATTTTATATAAGTTTACACGTTTACATGTTTTTAATTCGACTGGCAGTCTGTCTTCACTTCAGCGAAAATAGCAATTAAAATGTAAGTTTATATTATTTGTTTTTATAGATTATTCTGAACAGTATGCACAAGTACCAGCCAAGGATACACATAGTGAAGAAAAAAGATAACAGCTCTGGTCAGCAGTCAATACAAAACCTTGATGCTGAGGAATTCAGGACTTTTGTATTCCCGGAGTGTGTGTTCATTGCAGTAACCGCCTATCAAAACCAACTTGTAAGTTAACATATGTCAAAATAGCATGAATTTTTATTGTTCACTTACACATTACATAACCGTATTTTGCATGAAAGCTGTATTGCTTAATTATCATAAACACTTACCAGTAAGCTTATGTCAATTATTTTAATTACCATGGTCACATAAAATGCCAATGGTATCGATTTTAAAAGGCATATTTTAAATAGTTGAATAGATATATATCGAGACATGGGTTTTGTAACCGTTAACTCATATATCGGCTGAAGTTAACCAGAAATTCAGAGCTATTTTAAAAGGAAGCTTATCGCACCCAGAGGAGTCTATGTTCTGCCCGGTGTTAAGGATGTATCTTTTTGCCAAAATATTTACAATTATGTTTTTGTTTTATATTGCAGATCACGAAGTTAAAGATTGACAGTAATCCATTCGCTAAGGGATTTAGAGATTCATCAAGATTAACAGAATTAGAGAGGTTAGTATTAATTGTATATAATGGGTTAAACACAATAGACGGGACACTATCTTAACATGCAACATGATGCCATTGTTGAGGTAATCCGAGATGTCACGTACGTGTAAACTGTACCAGGGAGAACATAACTAACAACGATATCGTACATGCATCAGCAATAGAAAAAACAAACACGTTTTATTCAACTGAGCAAGCCACGTTGTTCAAGTAAAATATTGGTACATATTGGTCAGAACACTTGCTCATAGAGTGGTATGATTGATGACTCTTTATGACGAAAACCAGTTGTAATAATACATAACATAATCCATTGAAATTTGATATCAGTTTTATATGATGGCATTAAGTGGTGAAGTGTGATAAAGCCAGTGTTTTGTAGCCTACTATAATCTTACAATCTCACCAGTCTCCCACAATTACTCTTTCTGCTGACAGTATCATTCCATGGCACTTAACTGGCGGCGCTACAACCCGAACTTTAACTACTTAAGATTTAGCCAAAATCTAGACTCCTTTCGTCTGTATGCCATGCCATGCCACCGTGGTGGCTCTCAAAAATAGCAAAAATATCGTTACTCATCGAGACGCGACGAAGAGGAAAAGTTAAAGTGGTGCCTGAAGATTGTTTATTGGTAGCGGCAAGTGCTCATTTGTGTGTATATGTGTTAACAGAGGAAGTAATGGAAATGTGGGGTAGTATCTTACAACTGAAGAAGTTTACGGTATCAGTTTATTCAACACGTTTCCCAGGCCCATCGTGACATCACTCATCATATAGAAGAGAGTATCTACGATGAAACAGATCATTTTAAATTTTTATCTAAGATGTATATGATGTCATCGATGAGACTTGTACCTGGGCAATGCTGTTGTTTGTAAGGCAGCCCATGGCTGAAATGGGCAGCTGCCAAATTCAGTCCAATTCCACTTGAATCATATTCAAAATTACAAAAAAAAAATTTTAGCCGCGTTTCTTCATAGAGCCTCCATTTCAAATGTCATTGTCGTCTAATTTTTGAAAATTAATTAATTGAAATGTGAACTTTTTCTACGGGAAGACTGGGGGAATGTCTGCCTGTCAACAATAGTACAGACCAGCAGGAAGGAAACACTTGTGCACTACATTCAACAAACATGTTATTTTGCCATAAACATTAATAATATGCTTAAGCAGATACAATTGTTCTCTGTAGCTTTTAAGAAGCTTGCTAACTGACGAGTTTATCACTCTTCGGTCGCCTTTACCGCCAACAAAGCCTTTGAACAGATGCGTGTGTATATGGAAACATATACAGAACATATTTTAACCCCTGTTTGAAGTATTGTCCATCATGCAATCTATATTTTAGTCTTGCGTCTTTGTCGCTTTTGTAAGACATATTACACAAAAAATATATAGACTATACTTACTTTGATGCTTGTGATTATTTGGTTTGTCCATATAGCCATTTAAAAAAATTGTAATGTGCATTTTGCTGTCAAACTAGAAGGCTTTAACATCCGCACATGGCATTTTTTATTGACGTAATACTACACTTATCCCGTCCCACCAGCGATACACAAGGGGAATTTTTAAACGTTTTTCAAAGTTTGGCATTTTTTGAATAATACATCAAGTCATACATATTATACGTTAAAGATTATGCAAAATTATTACATTTACACTAACACATAACGTATTTTGGTACTTTTGAAATATCGCTCTTGCTACACAGGTGTCAGAATATTACACTTCCCATTTTTTCTTGATGAACATTTGCTCAACTGATTTCCAATTTTGAAATTGACGCAGTTTGTAAAATTTTGTTTTCAGCAGGGAGAGCATGGAGTCATTGATCCAACAGCATACTTACGCCAGATCACCTCTAAGATCTTACACCGATACTGAATTTGAAGATTCCGTAAAGGCACACTTTTTAGAAAGTGCTAAAGGTATGTTTAAAACATAATTATCAATTGACCCCTAGCAACATTACATTAAATATTTTCTTATTACATAAATGTGGGAATTATACATCTAGTATAGGTACTTAATGTACACTGTAAAATATCATATTTTTGTTCAGTAAATATTAGGTAAATTAAAAATATGAACAAATATGCAAAGTCATGATAGGTTCGACAGTTTAGAGGAAGGTACCAAGAACATATATATTCAGTCGGTGAATATCGAGGTCATTTCCTGATCATTTTGCCATTCCTGAATTATTATTTGGCAGATTATTACTTTTCCAATTACTTGTCTTAGTATTATGTTTTTATCTAATGTTTTGGTTTTGGAAAGTGGCGATAATTTTCAATCGAAAATATCAATTTTTTGATCGTCTAATTTTAGAAATCTTAGCTACGCCCCTGTTAACATGGTCAAAAACATCCACTAATAGTGTCATTGTTTTTGTTTCAGATGGATCACAAGATTCTAGCCAATCACCGACGTCTAATCCAATGTCACTGTGGCGACCAATGACGTCACGGTTAATGCACTTACCATATGAACGTTCGCTTTATTCAATGTATGGCAATTTACTCGGACTTTCCTCAAGTAGTACAAGTTTGCAAACTCTAGGACTTCATCATTTGACGTCTCCTACCGGTTTAGGGATCGGTAATATAGGTGGCGCTAACCCTATGTTGTACACATCTAGTGCAACTCAAGACGCCGTGAACAGTGTGTATCAATCTGCGGGTCTATATAACCATAGATACCATCCTTACCTTTCAAATATTACGTCAACAAGCGCTGCAGGCCAGCTAAAGCGAATTGATTCACCGGTACTACATTGATAACATCGACAGTTTAATTGTTCATATAAAACAGTATTTTATCGAATGTACAGTATGGCCGCCAAACGTAAAGTTAGAGATTTCATCGCAGTAAATCAACAAACATTGAAATAGTGTATTGACAATACAGATCATGGTCTTATAGATGGAAAATTTGTATCACGTTTCCAAATTTTTAATCCATCTTTAAGACCATTATTACGCCTAATTTGTAATTTCTCTTTTACGAGGATGTAAACCACTTATAGGTTATTCCAACAATCAAATGGTCGGGTGGCCTTATATGTAACATTTACGCTAATGTGTTTAGTGTGGCCCACTGGGGCATAGTATAGAAAGCGTGAATCGCAGTCAATAGAAGTTTGCCAATATGGCAACAATTGTTACATCCATAATTTGAAAATATTTAAGGTAATTTATTATATTCCATGAATGTAAAATGTTAAAGATATTTGCGAGGAAATATTGTAATTTTAAGGGATTCGTATTATTTATTTTCATATTGAGATATTTCTTAGATGTAAAACTATATAAAGGATGACATCATGTTCTTATTTGTGATACTTGATACGTTCAAATGCGCATGTTTTTAATAGACACTGTTATTTCTCTTAAAATATGATGGGATAATCTATCCAAAAGGAGGGGTGGATTTCAGGTTGAGGATTCTGCTTTGCATTTTTCTAATGCACCATATATTCCATGTGAAGATCCTATACACTGTGTGATATATTAGATCAAATAAATTATACATATTAAATAATGTATATAGTTTATGTTTGTCAGTATACATTGAAGAAAGATATGGATATATATTTAATATTTATTGGAAAGCAGAGACATAAACTTAGTTGTGAAAAATATGAAACAATGAATGCATATGTTAAAGCAAAGCAAATACTTGTAGGAACCATAAATTACAAAGCAAAGTAAAAAACTGTCTGTTTAAATAGTAAGAAGCAAAAATTAGAAAAGAAAAAATGTACTCGTATTCAAATTTTATCTTATTGGTTGACCCCTTTATAAAATTATTAATTCAACTAAGTTATGAATTCAACTATTATACATAACGATGGGTCCATTGTAGGAAGGATAGAGGAATTACATTACACTGATAGAAAGCAAAAGAATGCTAGTTATTGTGTATCAAAATGTGTTTTTGATAGCATGACCCCTTTACAAATGATGTCATTTCCATTATCTAATGTTACGTACAACGATGGGACAATGTGCAACCAGTTAGCCAACTCATCGACCCATGTATTAATTTCAATTTCACTTGAAATAGATTGATGAGCGAACTGGCTCATTGCTTCCAAAGTCGACAATTTCCATCCTAATTTGTCTATAGGCTGTGGGGATTGCAGTTAAGTTCTAACATATATCCAAAAAACAATTTTCCGCTTTATAGGGTACATCTATCAACTGCGATCAGAGGAAGGTAGGGTTCGGATGGCAATATTGACACCCCTAGTACCATTGCGACAATTCTATTTCACGCCTCGGCAACGTCGAATAATTATAAAGCTCCAAACGAATAATTGCTCCGATAATCCCGCTATAAGACTAAGTTAAATGAGATTTATAACGATTCTATACCAATTTGGCGCATGTAAAGTTGTTTCTTTCGACTGCTCTCATTCGGGCATTAAATTCCCTGTCATCAAATTGAAAATGGGCAATCCCTCAAGCATCAGCGATGTGTAATATTAGTTTTCTAAAATCATCCTCAATTCTAACGATTTTACACTTGATTTAGAACACTTATTACCAAGTATCTCGGGTTCACTCGGTATTAAGCAATAATTGAATTGAGAGGTGATTTAGCCAAGATGACAAATAGCTATGACATGTAATCTTCAAATGATTTGCTACAATGGTTGAGATGTATTATCATGCAGTAGCTACATGGCGGTGGACAGTGCACCGTTGGAATTAATTAACTACCCCTTATTTATGTAAAACGATTTTTGAATTTTTGGCGAAATTGATTTTACAAATAGTAACTTTACTGAATATTTGGAAACCAGTTTTATAAAATACTGCAAATGCCTGCTGGATTTAACGTTTATTCCGGGTGTTTTTGTTGAGCCAGATGAAAAATATCCCTCCTCGTTTTATATCCTGTGATTGAATGAAGATGATAACCTCGTGATTCATATATTATCTGTATAATATATTCGAAAAACAAAAACGTAAAGGAAAACATCTGGAAGGAGCCAGACGCTGTCTTTTTCAAATTGGAGGAATTCAAAAGTTTTGACATTACGAACCTAAATAAGCTTCGGTATCCGAAGTGGTTTTAGATTATCACAATCTTGAAATTGCAGGTAAAAAGAATAATTATTGTAACATTACAAGCATTTAATATGTTTGTTCATCAAATTAGCGTTAATAAACAATGAATTAGCGTAAAATACAAAATTCAATGAACAATCATTGATGATACATGATACCGTGTACGTTCATTAATGTTAGCTCAAATAATGTCCTTTGGTTAGATACAAGTTAAAGTATTTTTAAATTTTCCAAAATATGTTATTCCTTACTGTAAACGTGAGCGTCGTCATCATGCAGGATGTTATAATCGGAGCAATCTCAGTTTTCTTCAATCAGAAAAATTTGTGAATTTGCAATTTAACGGTCGGGGAACACTAATCTCTGCGATCAAATGCATCTTTCTTTCTAATTTTCAACCAATACATCAAAAGATGCATGAAGTTGCTATCTTGTTAGGAACTGTCAATTAAGAAAAAGGCAGATTTGATGAGGTATGGGTTGTTTCTAGACTTGCTAAAGTGGACAGGTATATCCCGCGTGATTTAACTCTAGGGAGTGCCAAATCCCCCTCTAAACTCACTCGCTGCCCTTATTGTGATTTGCATGCTAATTTTCGCCCATCAATTAAAAACGTTCGTTTAAAGCGGTAATTTGTACAGCTTTAATTTAACACAGGGGTTGCAAGGTTATAGTAAACCAATTTGAATTGCCTAAATGGTAATTCTAAGATCCTCTCAATTATTCCCTGGATTGATTGTGTATTAAAACAGGCACTAAATGACAATTAATTAGCTTGAATGTAAAGTGGAGACATTAGCTAGTTCATTGGTGTTAACTCGCTATATTTCCTCTCCATTTCTGAGAGGATTTGAGGCGGATCAATGCTTAGTCACCATATCCAGTGTATATCAAGGTGATTCCAATGTACTATTGGTGCCGTTTAACTGATTTTAAAATGTCAGAATATGACATATACAGTGTTAGAAGTGGAAGACAAATCGAGGACATTGCTTTGACGAATTACCAATGCATTGAAAACGCGCGTTTGATTTTAGTGACGAATGGAGTGACTTAAAATAAGGGGTTTATCTAACTTTCGTTATTCTTAACATTTCATAAATTGCTGCTAAATAAATTCATTTGTTCATTCATTGGTCAATCACGTTTTTGAAGTCCCGCAGACAATTTCCATTTACATCACTCTACGAGGTAAAAACACGAGGTGACGACGGAGAAGCCTCATACTGTTCAGATCGTAAATCCGCCATAATCGTTGGGTATTGGATTAATAATATTGACACCCGTATATCCCACTTGACTTGTTCGCCACATGGTGCGTTGTTCTCGCGTGTCTATTTAGCTTTACGCACTCAATGATCTGGAAACAATGTCTTCTTTTGGTATAGCAGGATTTAGGATTCAGTTAAGAAACCCAAGAGACATTCTTGGTGGAGAAAATCTTGTACAGCATTATCTCGATCATTTTCATTGATGATTTTGTAGAGATACTTGAAATTAATGTTTCAGTCACATTGATATTTGAAACTATAGATTCTTGAAATCATTGATCTGTATTTTGGACATCTCCTAAAGCAGGTGACCACTATTCATGAATAAGATATTCTTGATCTCGGGTTCCTTCGATAGAATGATCTGACAGATGAGTCGGGGTATAGACTTGATAAAAAAAGAAAACTGGCCATTGCAGAATAAATACATTTTATAATTGTCTCCAGTCATCAATTGCCCTTGGTTGTTACTAAATATCTACCCCCATCACAGATGGTTCAAACCTGTACTTAATATTTTTTAATTTCACAACATTTAGGCATCTAATTCGAAAACAATTGAAGTATGTATCAGGAGAGCATTAACACGTGATCACCAGTGAACAGCCGATCACAACAGACGCGATTTAAAATGAGAAATTGGGAGAAATGGGAAGAATACATCATGAATACAACAGCCAAAACATGTAAACATAATTCTGTAATTTGCATATAATCCGAAAAATGAATCATAAATTGATTTTCAGAGGGAAATGGAGTGAGAAAAGATGGAAAGTATACAGACATTTTAAGCACGGGTAATTACTATTGTTCGTCAAGATTCGTTGAACAAACACCTCTTTCCCGTTTGATATTTGACCACGATGGCTTGTTAATGCGTGGAACTAACAACTATTAAAATGTAGATTAAGGACTGATAAATCAACATTGAATTAATGTTTTATTGAAATAATACATATTCAATATCATCCCAGTCGAAAATATACATAAAATATAACATCAGGCAGAAACGTAAACCTTGTATATCGTTATCTCTACTAGACCTTTTTCCATTGAAAACAAGTTTTAAAGATTAGAATGTTACATGCGACGCAGCGTAAAAACAAAAGAAAAATGTCCACTATGTTAAAGTATATCCCGTAAGTTCAAGTTTGATACTGAATTTTAAAAACATTTTCAATAACAGATAGAACTTATAGGTTATAACTTATTGACATACACTAGCATATATGTCACCAATTATATTCGTTTATATAACGCACTGAATGTATTGAATGATTAGATGTCGCCAGTGGTAGGGTAGCAGAGGATGCGATGCATTCGGATTTAGCTATAGAGCCGAATGGGTCTGCTTCCCTTGGAACAACTTTACGATGAGCGCTATTCAGACGCCTATAGTTACTTAAAAATTACGAATGCAACGTATTAATTAACAAGAAAAGTCAACAATAATCAATTAAAACAAAATTGAAAAAAGGTTCCATTCTCTGCAAATCATCATCAACAGAAATGCCTGTAAAACACTATCACAAGTTGACTTGACATTTGAAGAATTCGAAATAGCAATAATCATGCTTTAAACTTATGGTATCTGTGAAACAAGGACATGGCTATATACAGTCAATTAACAACTGGATGGAAGTTTAAGCACTATAAGGCATACCCCAAAGATAACCTACAGAGAAGATTTTAGATTTTGTTACATTATTTGCTAAGTGAAGACGGATCGAGCTATTAAACTTATCAGGGTTTGTGTACTAGACGAGAAGGCGCATGTTCACTCCATTAGCAATTATCACTCCAATAAAGTGGCGATTGATACGTAAAATAGAAGTGTGATGCCACATTGCCACTTCAGTGTGTCCTGAATTAACTTGTTTGCTTGTTTGTTTGTTTGTTTGTTTGTTCGAATGTATTGTTTGTTTCATTTTTGCAGATATTACATGTAAACCATCATTTTTCTGAAACGTTTTATAAATCATTTCCTCATTGATTAAAGGGATATTCGATTCTTCAAAGCCCATTTTACTTCAACCATTTTTATACTGTCAATAGAATCAGCAAAACATGGTGATATGGTCAAATGGATCATTTGAAAATGCAGTGCTCATTTCATGTAGGCTGCCATCTTTTAATTAAGTTCATACAGGAAGTGATGTCATCGACTATTAACTTTTATGAACTTTATTTTTTGAATATCATATATACACTCCCCTCCATAAGTTTGGCAACCTTTTTCCCCCATTGAACTACGTGTTAAAGCCTCTTTACCTTCGCATTTATATTTACTTAACCTGCGATGAAAATACTTATACTATTGATGGAAACGTAATTTGACTTTAATTCCAATACCTCCAAATTTTCTCAATTTTTTCCTCAATTACAATAGGTCGAAAATTGATGATGAATTTGATGAATTTTTGAAAATCGACATTCCCATGTTAACCAATGGGAAATTGTAGGTTTGCCGCAAGTCATATGACAGAATATCCATCCATCCGAGTCCTTGCAAAAAATACGAGTTAGGCAGGCAATTGAATTTGCTAACTTTATTTAACAAAAAATTGATATGTTCAACAAAGTTATAGGACTTTAAAGTCAAAATTGTTTTTCAAAAAACCTCTCCCATTGAAATAACACAGGAGGCGAAAAATTATTTTCAAAAATGACTTTGAAGCTCTGTAACTAATTAATATTCATCAAATAAACTAAACGCTTAGTGTTAAAAAAGTTAGACAATTCAATTTTCTATATAAAAATATTTTTTGCTGAATCTTTTACTGAAAAGATATCCTGATTTCTGATTTGCCCCAAACCCTCCATTTCCCATTGGATTACATGGGAATGACGATTTTCAAAAATTCATCAAATTTATCATCAATTGTCGACCTATTGTAATTGAGGAAAAAATTGAGAAAATTTGGAGGTATTGGAAATAAAGTTAAGCTACGTTTCCGTCAATATTATAAGTTATTTCATCGCCGGTTAAGTAAGTAAAAATTCAAACGTTAAGCGGCTTTAACACGTAGTTCAATGGGGAAAAAAGGTTGCCAAACTTATGGAGGGGAGCAGTGGCGGATCCAGGAACCAACAGGGGGGGGGCCCAAATTTGAGATTAGAGAAAAAAAAAATTTTTGGGCCCCCTAAAACCGAAAAGTGGGCCCAAATTTTGAAAATTTGAGGCCCATTTTCTTCAAAATTTGGCCTAAAATTAAAAAAATAAGGCCTTAGAAGGCCCAATAATGACCAAAAGGCCCACTTTTTGGGGCCTTAAGGCCTTTTTTGGCCTAAAAATTTTTTGGGCCCAACTTTTTTTGTTCTGGGCCAACCTTAGGGGGGGGGGCGGGTCCGCCATAGGGGAGTGTATGTGAAACAATTTGATGAGGTAAATTCCGACTTGGACGTGATTCAATTTGAATACTATGTTTTTATATATACCGGAACTTTTGGGGGACTGTTGTGAATGTCTGAATGAATGGAGGTGGTGTGAAAGTGGCTTAATATTTCATCTTTGCCTTGTTAAATGTATTACTTCATGTTTGATTCAATAAAAAACGTTAATAAACTTACCCATAACAGTATAAAGTAGTCATCGATACAATTACTCAGATGCGAGTAGGTAGTTACCAGTTTCGCCACCAGCTGGCTGATTCGGGGGAAACAACATGGCAGGGTATTACAACGTTCCCTTTAACTTGAATATTCATCAGTTTTAGTGGTTCACTTTTCATATTACCTTCATGTATCTGATAGTTATACAAATTAAAATATGTCTAGTAAAAGAAAATGCTATCTGCCCAACACAAGAAAATATATTTCACCTTTTGTGATTTTTATGGGGTCTATTGGGAATCTCCCCGGCCTAGAAGTCACATTTTCAAAGAAAAGTTGATAAACTCTTTTTCAAAACCACATTTCTAGATGTAATTTTACATGTAGATTCCAAATATGACATCAGTTTGACTGGATTTATAACTTTTAATGACGTAAATCAAGATTATTTCTACTCGCACCTAATTTCTATTGGTCCGTACTAGTGTTAAAAAGTCAGAGCTTGTAAACTTGATATAAAATAGATTGTTTGTAGAATTGAATCAATAGACTAAATGCGAGTAGAAATAATCTTGATTTACGTCATTAAATATTCAAAATCCAGTCAAAGTGATGTCATATTAGAAATTTACATGTTAAAGTACATCTAAAAATATGGTTTCGAAAGTTATTTATCAACTTTGAAAATTTTATTTTTTTGAAAATGTGACTTCTTGTTCGGGTTGATTCCCCATTAACCCAATGTTACAAAATCACGAAAAGTGAAATATCTTTTCTTGTATTGGACAGATAACATTTTCTTTTACTGGACATATTTTAATTTGTATAACTATTAGATCCATAAGGGTTATATGAAAATTGAACCACTAAAACAGATGTAATTTAAGTTAAAGGGAACTTTCTTCTATACCAGCAATGCTATCTGACCCGAACGAGCCACCTGGTGGTGAAACTTGTAACTACCTACTCGCATCTGCGTTATTGGAAATTGATCGAAAATAATATTAAGCTGTTTTTGTGCTTCTTTCAGTATATAGATATAGATACCTTGTCTTATGGTATATGCAAATTTAAAAGTTGATAGCATCACTTCCTGTGTGAAATTCTAAAAGATGGTAGCCCACGTGAAATGAGCCCTGTATTTTTAAATCATCAATGTTGACCATGTCAAAAAAATAAAAATGGTAATGGCTACAATTTCAAGAGAGAAATCTGGGTTGACAAGGAATATCCCTTTAAGTATAGGAAATCGAACTCCAAAAAGAAACATACAATTAGGGTCAATAATGAATAAATGCATGAAACTGACACAATATTTCTACCTCGAACAAATGTATTTAAGTAAGGCAGTGTGGCAATGGCATCTGGAATCATTGTATGTGGACTGACGCAATTTTACTCAATTTTATAACTTATTTCAGACAATAACTATGATAGAAATCTCGAAATAGCTCGTATTCAATTGCAAAATAACATAACAATATTTTAACATATGGCCGTTTTGGACGACACCGAATTGAAAACTTTCTAGAAATGTGATTGAGCGTGGTATATAACCTTCTTATCGAGTGACCAACTACGTCTTATCGTATAACATATTGGGCGATAATAGAGGTAATAGTCGGTCCATTAATACCTTTCAGGCCATGGCTTTTATCGCCGCCAAGCCGACGACATACCCACCCGTAGAATGAGGCAGATTTTGATAACAGTTCTCTCAGTCGTGATTTAAGAGGGGAGAGGCTCTTGAAGAGCTCTATGGTAATTCTAATTTTGACTGGTTAGAAAAATAGTGTACGTAAAACTAATCCATGAATTTCTAAATGAAATCAGAACCCTGGAGATTCATTCTTGAAAAGATAGTGGTATTTTTACAACAAAACGACCGGGAGCTATGTGTAGCGTCTGTACACACATAGTCGAAAATAACCGACAGAACAAATAGTCAATAATCATTTTCATTAATGTTGATGGAATACGAATAGTAGTGCATGTCCAGAGAGGTAGTCTTGCTTTAGGACACTGGACCCCCCCCATCTACTTTAACAACAGGAAGACTACAGAGACAGCAACTGACCAAACCTTTAATTCTACTAATTTAGCAGTTACCTCATACGTCTTATCATACCTTGTCGTCTCTACACATAAAGAAGTTCGAAGCTGTTTGATGGAATCTAAAATGTTAAATAAATGTGTTGAAAATATGTCGGGGTGGTAAAAATAAGAATGAAACAGTTGGAATACATAGTTATTTGTTATTTTTACAAACTAATTTCAAATATCGATTTTGAATAAAAATAAGATTTGACTTGACGTGGCTTTTTCAAAAAAGCGTAATATATAGCGTTATGTTTAATAAATACGTCTATTATGACTTGCGCTATGTAATCGTTGATTCCGGGTCGTTGTTCAGGTCGACTGTAATATGACATTACATTCTTCAAACTTTCAATAAAATCATGCCTTCTTTATAGTTATTGTATACTGGGTATTGCTGATTTACGGCCTGCAATTCTTAGCACTGAGGTTAACATACATAATATCGGTTTATTCAACTTTATTGAGCTACTAGTGACATCTTTATTTTATAGATAAGAAAAATTCCAGGGATGATACATTAGCCAAACTTTGCATTGTGGACAGAATAATTACAGGGGTTTCCGGATGAAAACAATAAGCAGAAATCCTGGAAACATTAAAACAAAGAGTTTGAAAAATATTGAAAAGCATCGATAAGTCACGAGGAGACTTGCCTTTACATTCCGAAAAATGATGATCCGATCGAAGCGAATACGAACAACTCTTTTCGAATATACAGTGATTTACTTATTTGGCTAGAGTGATGTCGTAAGCCTAACCTTATTATTATAATTCTATGCCGAATAACCGAATAACAATTCAGTTGTTGCTAAACAATAGCATCTAACAGAATCCAAACTCATTCTTGCAACGTTTTATTTTACCAACGCCATCTTTACAATTCGTAAAAACATTTACCACTTAAAACACTCTTTCAATGCGTAAAGCAAAACCCTAATTGATGAAACTATCACCAGCGACGTTGAATTTGAGTAGCCGTGACTGCAAGTATTTCACTTTGAGCAGTGTCTAATTGCCAATGGTCTGCCTTTAAGCATATTTGCCTTTGGGTTTTTAAATACTTTTTTATCTTAGAATTTCAATTATTCTTCATTGGTACTAAATAGTTCCTTCTTTCGAATTTTATCACGGCAAAATAGCTATTCTGAAGGCAAGTGCCACTTACCGGTCCTCATTCCAATCGCGATGATCTAGATTGGCGCATACTAGAGGTTATGTCTGGGCACCCACACACTTTATCGTTATAGATTACATCTCAGTTACCCGACGCATTCATTCACAAAACTATATTTATCTAACTTTGAGTCATGTCAAAGTTTATCAAGAAATGCAGAAAATTGCAGGATATTGTCCAATTAACGAGGCCAGTCTATACAGCTTTATTTATCTGAATTGAATTTGTCAATAAATCAACGTAAATTAGATGTGAATTTTCAGTTACTATATTTTCAGAATTGCGATTACAATTTTCTGTTATTCGGAACTGACGTCTCCTGAAAGTTAAACGTGGGATATATACAGCTAAACGGCGGTACGTATGAAACTGCATCGAATTAAATTTGAATATATCAATTTTATATAATGATTTCAAGACACTTAAAATAATATATATTTCCAGGAAATGCGAAGGCAAGTTGCACTATGCTTGGTTTTGGTAGTGAATTGTATGTATGGCTTGCCACTCGATCTAGAATCGCCAGGTAAAGTTCACATTGATTCTACAATAGGTAGACACGTTATTTGAATTTGGAGATAATGAAATACCAAGTATTTACATGTACTTGCCAAACCAAGTATTTATTTCGTTGAACGGCCAGTTATTCTTTGATGAAAATTATCTTTTGAACTACTGAGACGTATTTTGTTAACTCATCCGAAGTTTCGTGTATAATTGATTACTATTAGTATGGACAAAACGCTCAACTGTTTCTATTCATATTCTAGAAGATGAGCCAGCTTTGGTTAAGTGTGTAGGTTCTAATGGTCAGAGTTACCTTAAAGGTGACCTCTGGGTCGATGTTGTAGATGGAGTTGACAATATATGTAGATGTTTACCCTATTATACAAGGAGAATTGATGTGTTTAGCCCGCTGGAACTACCGCGGCATTTGCGCACTCGATTAACTAAGCTCTGTTTTTTGGATGGTAAGTCGGATATATTTAACTATATTACTTATGTAGAGGGAGACTTTCTTAATATGATTTACCCATGGTTCTATGGCAAATAATCACACATTTTATTTTTATTTTTTATTCAAGTTTTAGATTTACATTATAATGTAAGGTTACATGATAATACAGTTAATACAAATATAATTAGGGTCGCTCATTTTTTTATAAGAATGTATATAAAGGGGTTACGTTACAGGGGAGGGGAGAGGCTATAATACTAGATCTAAGTATAGTGGGTCAAAACATCAAAATGTGAGAGTTTGATTTTTCTATTTAGGTCTTCTTTTTACCCCCTTTCTGGCTCTGTATGTATGTTTCGGAGTATTTGGTTTCCAGCTCAGAAAACCTCAGAAAAATAACCACACATTGTTGATCCAGTAAAATTGACCAATGAAAAAATCAAGCGATAAATGTTGATCTACTTCAGGCTGTAGTCGAGGAGATCGAGTATTCCCACCCTACACTGAGATAGTGGCACACGATGGTTGCATTTCCAAATGTATACCAGGGACGGACCCCGTTGACAATATGAGGGCACAGTATTCCACCTTCCATTTCAAAGAAACTTCAATGTGTAATCATTAGAAGTGGTTGCATTTGTTGCGGAAATAAATGCGTATGCAATGTCATGCGATATAAAATCTCATTAAAGTATCACGTTTTTTAAATATAATAAAGTAGCAACTCCAATGATGACATGTAGTCCCCCACTTTTCCTACATTGACGAAAATAATTAGGAATGGATAGACTTGATAAATCAGTACCATTGAAACCTCAATGGAGAAGGAGCTCTATGTTACAGAGATACAGAACAGCAAATTTAATATACGATAGTTAGATTATTAAATCAAAGTATATAATACAGATTGCCATTCATGGTTCCATTTGTTCTTCTTCATCGGTGTAGTTTCCAGTATGTTTAAACACGCATTTACTAGCAGAATCATCCTCTGAAAATAGAAACTTATTTCTTATTTCATAGAGGACATCTAGATCTATAGCTACCTTGTGTTGTATTGGATCAGATAACGGAGCAGGTCACTATGTAAAACTCATTTGGTGAAACGGCTTTGGGCCGTATGTCATTTGGTAAGTTGTCCATTCATATACACATGTATAAACTGAGTGTAATAAAGTGTTGGTCTTTCCGAGATTATATTCTTACTTTTACAGAGTTCATTTGTGAGTGCTACACCAGCCAAATACAAGTGCGTGTAATTGAATCCTGGAATTTGCATGTTGACAATCGTACATCCAATTGGCTCGCTTGCAACTCTAGTCCACTCGTTCATACCCGTATTTGCGCCTCTCAAATTTGGCATACCTGTGAGTATATAAAAACAGTTAACATACGAATAATGCAACATAAAATTATGATTATGCAACAAAAGATATATTTTGAACTTTTTCGGAATATCACACACTTTTGAAAAGCGTGTCATATGTTTTTGGCATATCACAGAAAAACAAAAATAGATCTCAAATTAAATTAAAACAACGTTTATACAATGCCCTATTAACCCTTAAACGGAATTAGGGGAGCGGTCAGGGGGAGGCAGATCTGCCCCTCCCCAATGATCTCGGAAACGATGATCAATTATAGGATGATTTAGGAATCGTTGGAATTTCGATTATGTTTTATAACTATATTTTGCCATTACTGATGAATAAATGCCTATATTAAGATCTCGGGGTTTTTTCGTTTCAAGTCAACTTGTTAGCCAAACATGCGTAAAACAATGTTCAGGAATGCTAGAGAGTTTAAGATAAAAAGACGAACTGTAAAAAAGTTATACAAATTCCTTGGGGGAGGGGGTTAAATGACGTTGTCAATAATGCATGTAGTTTTTCTGTTGTTTTTTCAATATCTTTGTGCATCCATACGCAAAATTGCATTTAAGCTTGGCATTACAAATCTCAGCTAATCATATACTAACCAAGCATATATATTGTTATATTATTTCTTTTCGCGATACTGGCAGCTGCAATGGTGCTTCTGGAATTCGTGAACTTAAAGCCAACCGGCCAAGTTCGACCATCGCTGGCAATTAGTATGGTCTTTCTAGCTCCACGTCTGTTGAACATAAGCAAATGGCGGTACGCTAGGTTGAGTGCTTTCCCCGTCTCTGTATATTTTGCATTTGTCCTTGGAATGGCATCCATAATGTTCAAGAGAGTTTGTTTGTCTCTATGCTGAGTATAAAACGATTCATGATAACTCTTTAATGTGCTAATGGTGATTAATTAACATTTTAAACCGCCCTTTACCCAATCGCGCTATCAGCCGTACGTTGGAATAGAAAAATACGATCAATATCATAATTATCATAAAACGGTCATGTATGCAACTATGCATACATTGTCTTACTGCATGTAGTCAAGCAATAATTATTCCAATAAACATAAAGTAATATCTTATTCACATCTTATCAACGGCGACCGCAATGCGACCATAGTTTGAGAAATTCCTACGGCGACCCTAGAAAATCTAAGGTCATCTTACGATCGCCGTACAGCGTATTCCAGTCTTTTACCGGCCGCAGAGTTCTCGCGGACATTTTACCACGGTTAAATAACTTTTTTTATTTCTACGGTTGCCGTACACATGCCTTAGTGTAAGACTGACCGCAAAACCTCCACTTTTCACGAATCATTATGGTATTCGTAATTTCAAAAATGCTAACCTTGAGAGCAGTGATGGACTCTAGATGAAAAGCAATTTTTTGTTGTGTCAATTTATTCAATTTTCACTTTATTCCTTAATTTCACGATTATACAAAAACACATATAATGGGTTTAACATGTGAGATCATCTCTGATGTTAGTGTATGAACCTAGTGTATGAACTTAGGAATGAACTGGTCGTTTTGTTAATCAAAATATCAACTCACCTTTCCTAGGAAAGCATGTTGATAAACTTCTCCATTATAGGTAAAAATAGCAAACTGTAACCCCGATGCGAAGTCGACCGTGGACTCGTTAATAAAAAATGTAAAGAAACGAAGCACACGTTCAATATCAGGAGTCGGAATACTGTCGGATCTGTCAATGATAAGTGCGACATCGGCGAATTGGGTACAAGGATCTGCAAATGAAAATATAAAATGACAATCCATCAGCTTTACCGTTTTGTTGCATATTTTTAAAATGATACGATGCATTTTCAATTTCTGTGGGTTTCTTTTAACTGCAAGTATGTAAAGAGGTGCTCTGTGGTGGTTTCATATCAAATACGGGATAACTAAACATGCAGTAATGGCAGTTTAAGGCATTGACACTTCAGACATAGCAACGTCCTTACCTGGACAGGCTGGGAAAGCCTGAAACAGGGACTGTCCCAAGAAACCAGATTGTGATCCCGGCAAAAACACCTCGTCTTGCTGAACATCGTCCCCAAGAACAGGTCGAAGTACGTCAGGGAGACCAAACGCAGCTGAAATAATTGTGAATGGCAATTGCAACAAAATAAATCACCACAAAACGTGACAAGACCGCACTTTGATTTTTCAAATTCATATCACACCTCTACATGCTTTACCTGATGGGTCGGTTATATCGATAGGTCCTACTGCTTTTACACCAGGTACTGTACTTGGGATATGCAATGCATTCCACTCATCATCTCCAGTGTAGCTCCCTGCAGTGTTATTGAACATCACCACTACGCTCACGGCTTGCATGTCCTGAACAATAATAATATGATTGTTCGGATTTTAGGTGAACTGAAACCTGTCAGTTTTAAAGTAGTGATTCAGAGAATGGATGTCGACTTTCTTTTGGGTATTTTGGGATGAGTTCGATAAATGATCTGAAATCTCATTGCTTGAGTAGTCCTCGATGATTGAAGACTCAAATGGTATGATAGTGATTAGTGAGTGTACTTGTATTTTTAGTGTATTAGAGCGTTATTCTGAAGCATATGACAGTATGACATTTGCTTATGCATGACTGGATGTACCGATTTCCCTCATGAATAGAATCATCTGTGAGGATATAACAATTAATGTACAAATATCACGAGTGTATGGTAGATCGCATGCCGAAAGATGTTATTCAACCAAACTCCAGGATGTATGTCTAGTTAAAAAACGTTACTCCACCAGATATATCTCCAAAGAAACCCGTTATGATATACAATTGGGTCGATCTTGTGGGTCAAGTTTGGGACAAGTATCTATATCTCCCCTGTAATCAACCGGACAGTACGTATAAAGCAAATGTATCATTCCTCACCTGTAATGCCTGAGCTTCCTGCAATGTTTTACGTCGTTCCGATTCCCAGTTGAATTTATTTTTAAATGTAACCCCGTCAGTAAACGAAATCACTAAATTTGGGAAATATCTATCGTCTCTACCCTCTGTTTCTAAAATTTCTCTACATTTTTCTAGTGCTTTGTATGTCAACGCTTGGCAGTGCTCACATCTGAATCTGTTTGCTCTCCCTTGCTTTTGATATTCCAACTCTTCAATAGCTAGCAAAACAGAGCCAGATATTGGTTGGAACGGAATATCAACCTGAAAATAAAAATATAGATTGTTTTCCAAATGATATTTTAATGATTTATTCTAATGAAAAAATGACTATTCACAGTTCTGTCATTAAATCAAATCATGAACATTTAAAAAATGAAACAAGCAATACATTATATAGTCAGGAATATTTAGGTGAAAATATTTCAAAAATATATAGAAGCAATTTTAAGGTGGATTTCAAAACTTCATACCATTCTTTTGAAAACCTGAAGTGGCACCAAGCAATCCATTGACTTTTTCACCGAAAATCCAAGATGGCCGCCGCGATGTGTCAAAAAACCATAAAAAATGACTAAAGTTATGATTTAAGTCAAAATAGTTGTATACTTCTCAAACATGGCTAATAATAGTACCTATCAGAAGTTCACATCCATTTAAAGTCATTGGATCATTTTTGTGTGAAAACTGGAGTCCCACAAGGCTCAACTTTATGTCCGCTACTTTTTTTTGCATTGACCATGGCATTTGCACATAGCAATGCATAGAAATCCATTTTTGTAACATGTGCACCTAGGACCACATTTCACCTTGCACCCACACTTGACCAATGCTTCGCATGCTGCTTGAGGAAGGGCTGTATATAGTGGCATCAGGAGGGACATGTCATACTGCCAGCCCCATGTTGTGAACTCCGATACCCATATTGGATTGAGATTGTACAGTTGGCCCCAAACAATACCACAGAAGGCAATCCAGATTGACACTTATTGCACCCTAATGCTGCAGCCATGGCAAGAACAACTTCACCAGTATCTCCACCGATTCTGATTATGAAGTCTTTTTTACACTCTGAGGTCATCTGTTTTACCTGAACAAAGAGTCTAGTGTAGTATCAGCTTCTTCATGAGTACAAGGTTCAATCATTACTGTAACTGGCAACTGAGGAAAGCGGTTCAACAAATTCCACAATAGTCATAAACATCAACCTCAAAAATAGAGTTGGCCATGAATGCTAACAGCTCAGTCTTGATCTGGTTGTTTCTAAGAAAGCCTAACCATTTCTGGGGCATCACATTCTCTACATAAACCATCCATTGCCACAATGAGTCAGGGACTTCCTACTGTTTTATAGGTAGACATCCCAGATAACATCTTATCTTGAAACACCTTCCGTAGGCTGCCTTAACTTGGGATGAGACATTGGTACCATATTCTTGGAAGTTGGTAGCCACACCAGGATGCATCACATGGACCAGAAGGATGCCATATTATAATTGCATCTGCAGGTGGCTTTTCCAATACTTCAGATCCATCTGGCTTAGTTTCTTGACATTTAAGTAAGTCTGCTTTTGTTGTAGGTCTCATGGCTCCGTCGTTATATAGGGATGGCGGGAACTCATGGTTTTCATATTTGAAAAACTCAAGACATGTCACTGTGTCTTGATTGGCATGCAATGTAGAGTAATAGCAAAAAAAGGTCATAATAATTTCTCAGTTCCTTGACTTCAGGATTCACTTGCATGCATAGTTGGTGTGGTCAAGGGAGAAAAAACAAAGAATCATCTGCAATGATTCCTGAGGTCAAGGAACTGAGAGAAGAAAATTACCTTTTTAGCTATGCTCTATATTGCTTGCCTTTGACAGTCAAGACATAACATGTCTGAGTTTTTCAAACATGAAAACCATGAGTTCCCGCCATCCCTAGCTAAGCATGGAGCCATGAGACCTTCAACTAAATAACCTACTTAAATGCCTAGAAACTAAGCCAGATTAAGGCAGCTTATGGAAGGTGTTCCAAGATTAGATGTTGTCTGGAATGTTTACCTACAAAACAGTGAGAAGTCCCTAACAAGGATTTATTGTGGCACTGGTGCTAGAAGGATGATTTATGCAGAGATGCACAAATGCCAAAGAATTGGCCAGCCTTTCTAACAACCAATGGAACCAGACTAGGCTGTTTACATGCCTGGCCAACTTTATGTCTGAGGTTGATATTAATGAAAAGCAAATGATAACTACTACTTATTTGGGAATCTCTTCAGTGCTTTCCTCAATTGCCAGATACAGCAATGATTGAACCTTGTACTTATGAAAAAGCTGACACTAGGCTCTATGTTCATATAAAACAGATGACCTCAGAGGGTAAAAAATACTTCATAACCAGAAGTGGAGATACTGATGTCCTTTTTCTTGCCATGGCTGCAGCATTAGAGTGCAATAGGTGTCAATCTGGATTGCCTTCGGACCTCTCAAAAATTACAGGTATTAAATTATATCATATAACTGCTCCATTCTTTGGCCATAGCAAAGAATCTGCCCTTCAATCTATGGAATGTGTTCAAGGAAGTTACTCCAGCTTTTCTACAAGTGGCACAAATGGTTACAACAAACCTGCCTTTGTCAGTTCAAGCCATTCAGTCCCTGGAACATTTTACTGTTTTATTATATGATCGAACCAGGAACCAGATAGATATCAATGCAGCAATGTTCTGTAACGGTCATACAGTCATTGACAAAATACCACCAACAAAGGAGCCCTTGCACAGAAAATTTTAACTTGCTAACCAAGGCGGTATAGTTTGGTGCCATAACCAAAATGGTTATCGAGTTCACAACATGTGGCTGGCAGTATGACATGTCCCTCCTGATGCCACTATGTACAGCCCTTCTTCAAGCAGCTAAGGCATGCCAAGCATTGGTCAAGTGTGGGTGCAAGGTGAAATGTGGTCCTAGGTGCACATGTTACAAAAATGGATTTCTATACATTGCAATGTACAAATGCCATGGTCAATGAAAGTCATTGAACTAAAAAAGTAGGGGACATAAAGTTGAGCCTTGTGGGACTCCAGTTTTCACACAAAAATAATCTAGTGACTTTAAATGCATATGACCATCTAATAGGTACTATTATTAGTCATGTTTGATCAGTATTTAACTATTTTGACAAATTAAATGATGATATTAGTCATTTTTAGTGATTTGCCGATACATTGTGGCGGCCATTTTGGATTTTTGGTGAAACAGTCAATGGATTGCTTGGTGCCACTTCAGGTTCTCAAAAGGATGGTATGAAGTATTGAAATCCACCTAAAGATTGCTTCTATATAATTTTGAAATATTCTGTGAACTTATCTCCTATTCAAACCTGACTAATATAAAATTGCTTTAATGTGAATCTTAGGGACAATTTGTTTTTTTTATAATAGACCCTAATAGTTGGGGGGGGGGTGCACTAGTTAAATGCTTGGCTATATTATTCCAATATATTTCGCGTCGGACCTTGCTTTGCCTAGCAACCATCTAGCATCGGCACATGAATCAATACTGAGCGAAATTTAAAAATTCGGGTAGGGGATAAAATATATCTAACATTTGGATTAGGGTATCATCATAATTCTGTTACGTTCAGTTTGCAAAATCATTCACGAACATGGAAAAAATCAGAGGTGTTCATCGATTAGTTTTTGAAAAAAAAAATTTTTTTCACAAATGACAATCGGGTTGAGTTTTACGCCCAAAAATGAAAATCGGATAAACTGAATGCTTCTCAAAACTTTTGGAGCATATTAATTCGTGGAGAAAATTCAAGGAAGAAACAACACGAGATTTACCTGAATATCGTCTTTGTATGTAATTAAAGTGACTGACATATCAGACCCAAACATTTCAAAAGATTCGGCCAATGTTTGCCTCGCAAATTCAAACTCTTCCTCAGTGATGTGACACGTCTTTTGGAGTATGACACATAGATCGCCATTCAGTGTTCTCGGGTCATCTCCTGACAAAATATATATTTTGATAGGTTTCATACTAAGGTGGAAATAATATTGGTTGCTTAACATACATGTAGTTTACATATATCGAAGTGCACGACAAACAATATAGAAAGAGTTTAGTAAGATTGGCAAGGTTCATTTCATGCAAATATACGCAATCAATAGACCATAGATTTATATTCTAAAAACAGAATTACAAACTCACGGAAAACAATTGTTTGTATATTCCAGATGAATAATATCACGGGTGTTAAAACACGAATTAGTCCATTTGTCATTTTCTGAACGTATGAATATTTAAAAGTATGGTGTTTTTCTGTGTAAATACTATCATTAGGGTTTATTGGAGTGATTTAGCTGGGTTGGACAAAAAGTTAGTATGGGGAAATTTTTTGTATCTATCACCATGGTAACACACCAGGTACATGGTGGTATCCCGACGCTAAGTCAATAGTCAACGCCATGTTAAGCCAATGCACCCCTCCCTAATTAGCCTTTATAATGTTTTCCCCAAACTTACTTTTTGTCCAACCCAGTTAAATCACTTCAGGAAACCCTTATTATCATAAATCGACCATAAAACATCGTACTTTTAACAATTTCTAGGTTCACTACTGGATGTATAGGGGTGACAAATGGACTAAATATACCATGAGCACATGCTTTGAGGATCCGCGTTGTTTGAACCTACCGCCGAGCACACTTATACATTAAGACCCGTACACAGTCATGATACCACCGAGCAAGCTCATTGCATCATCGGGTCTGCTTTACCCCCGTGAATATTTATCAATTACAGAACCATGAATTCGTTCAATTTCTGCATAAATATCTTTTTTTAAATGATAGGGTACAATTTGTCTTTTGTTTGACATACAGCACGTGCATTTATATAAATAATACTCCGCTGCCACATTCAATGTGAAATAGTACCCTATTTATAATATTTTTGAGGCAATTAAATCTAGAAAATCGAATGTAATCGAAACATCACCTATCGGTCCACATCTTTCATTTTGAAAGCTGTTGAAACCACCTGGCAAAGGTGGCAATGGTTCTCCACTTCTTTCCATCATCATTTCATTTATTTCACCTCTAACCCTATCCATTAAGTTGCTAGCGTGACGTTCTATGTCCTTTCCATTTTCCTCGATCTTCTGTGTTAACGCAGGGAAATAGATTTTCAAAAGGTCAATACCTATTCCGTATAATGGTACCACGACCAAGAAGCATATAAGACTGGTAAAGAGTAACATCTTTGCGTTGTTAACGTGTACCTTGTGCTGTACGTTCCTAGTTCATGTTACACTTCATTCTGAAATATTTAAACAATAAGGCTATAACTTTTTATTTTATGGCACTATACTGTTCTCGCTACATGGTCTCTTACTTTATATTTCATTGTATTTGCATATCTGGCGTAAATAACTACATATGCTACATGGAACCTTCAAGGGGGAACCCAGCTGACTATCGGTCTTTCTATATTGAGTTGAAATGTACATCACTGTAGTTAGTTATCGTACGCAACTATTCATCAATGGTTCCATATATATGTCTAAGTGCTAAAACGACAAAGATACATAAATTCTATCCCAAAAATAGAATGCATATGACATGTTAGTTGAATGATAATGATGTGGTATTTGATACATAAATATGACACCGTTGTCTTCTGTAACAGAAGGTATGATATCACATTGACTCAGAAATAACTTGAACAAAAACATAGCAAAGGACATTGCATATAGTATACCCTCTTGGGGATACCTATTTGTTTCTATTATGGTCGAATAACCAGAATCAACGATTGTACTCAATGCGTCATTTACTTTAAATTAATCGAGGGCATGTTACATTTCCCCGATATTGTCCAATACATCCCCATGTGATTATTAAATAAATAATAAAAATACTCATTATATACCATTGAAAATTCTCAATCAAGTAGTACAATTAGACAGATATTATATTTATTAAGATATATAAGTGAATTTTCTTGTCTAGATTAAAATAAACAATTAACTTAATTGTACATCTCAGTTTATCTATTAACATTGCAGCGCAATAACGTTGTGATACTCATTGCATTTGTTCTTGTTATTGTTTGAATAGGCATTAATCAAAAGAGCGTAAACATTTATTTATTGCAAAGATATTTTTATACTTACTGATAAGAATTCCTAGTATATTATCCTAGTAATTGTTTAAAGTAATAATGATGATGATAGACCATTGTCATGTGATAATGCATCGGTTCTCTTCCAGTTTCTTGTATTCGTATTCTCAATGACAAAGCAGAAGGCATACTGAAACTAAAATTATATAGATAATACTAAACATACGTGAGACGTGTTAAGATATAAATCTCGTAAACTAGTGTATGTAAATATTACATACTTTGAATATAACATATATGCATCGTAATATATATGTTTTTTTTTGTTTACTGAAAGAATCCAGTCATCAAAAACTAGAATAGTATTGTGTATTCACTTCAACTTTAACTACATGTACAGCCTTGGGGAAATCGGTATCGCACATGTTCAATATGGGTACACTATTATGATGTTTGCTACAGCTTATTATTTCAACATCTTGAAAAGGTTGATCCATCCGACTTTGAAAAAGTGGACGTACATGTATATTCTTTGTTCGGTCGTAAATCTCAACACGAAATATGTGCGCACGTGGACATTGCAATATGTCAACTTGTGACATATTTAAATACATATACGTACATCTCATATATATATATATATTATATACATTTAAATATATAATCTGATATGTGCATTAATGCGCCTCTGGGGCTTTATTAATCTGATTGAGAATATCCAGAAACAAATTTTCACATATATGTAACCATATGTACAAATGTAAACAATCTGTTAATGTGAATTGTCTGTAATTATATGCAATGTTTAAATCTTCACCTATGTGGAGGAAATAAAGACACTGAACTGAACTGAACAATCATTTCGAGTATTAATGATTTTTTTACAAATAGATGTCCCCCTCAAGTTTATTGTAAATATGATATTGCAATTGCATGTGACATAATATCTCAATTGATGACATCTATAACATTTTGTCATTCAAACTACATTAAAAACAACATTAACTGATTGTTTCAAAGACGTTTTTGAACTCAGTTTTATTTATAATAATATACAACATGATATGTCTTTTAAGAGGTTGGTTCCATGTCTTCATCAGGTTGGGTATAATTTCCAGTATATTCAAATATACAAGCGCTTGCAGAGTCGTCCTCTGAAAATAAAATGCCATTCTGTGAATAATATTGTTATACTAAAACATTTAGACCTACTGTGGTAGTTGATGAATAATGACCAATAATCTGAAGCATGCACTGTGTCACAAAATCATGACCTGATAAGTCCAGTCATTTATCCAGTTTTGGTAATGCAGTGAATAACACAAATCTTCGACTAGAATATCAGTATATGACTGTAGGAACAAAACTGGTATGTTCTTATCACTGTTCCACAACTAGTTACTTTGACGATTTGACTTTCTCGATTTAAACCTACTTACAAGTATGCCAAATGATAATCCGCAACAAGACTTATACGTAAATTTAAATCGAGAAAACAAAAAACTCGTATCCAGGAAGTTCATCCATTTTGTTACATTGACGTTCCGTCAAAGTAATTAGTTGTGGAACAGTGATTTTGAAGATTAACTGTATGTACTATGTAGATTTCTTGGTTTCTCTTAGTTTTTTATGAAGAAAGGCGTATCCCATAACGGTTTTTTCGACCACAGCAGACAAATCTTGCGATCCCATCGCGAGATGAAGCAACTCCCCCAATGAACAGAATTGACATTTACATGAATTTGCAAATGACTGATATTTTCAAAAATTAGCGAAAGTACATTCTTACTTTTACATAACTCATTTGTAAGTGCCACACCAGCCAGGTACAAGTGTTCGTAGTTAAAGCCAGGTATCTGCATGTTGACAATCGTGCAACCAATGGGCTCACTGGCTATTTGCGTCCACTCGCTCATTCCAGTGTTAGCACCCCTCTCGTTTGGCTGACCTAAATTAAACATTCAAATCAATATAAAAGCGAGGTTAGGTTTTTAAGAGAATCTGTATGTGAGCGTATAATATTTCGAACCCTGGGAATTACTGTCCCGCGGGCAAAAAAAAATTATGAGTTTCCGTGTACTTACCGAGGACGAAAATGTCAATATTATTTCGTTTGGCTAATTTTGCGGCAGCAATTGTGCTCCTGGAATTCGTATACCGACTGCCCTCTGGCCAAGTTCGTCCGTCAGTACCGATAAGTATTGTTTTCCTAGCTCCTCGCCTGTTATACTGATTCAAATGATTCGTTGCCAATCTAATCGCCTTTCCAGTCTCTGTATATTTTGCTGTTTCTCTTGGAATTGCATCCATGATTTTCAGCAGAGATTCTTTGGTCGTATCCTAAAAATAGTTTTATCCACAACGGTTGTTAAGAAGGTATTGGATTTATGAAATACCAAATTCATTACTCAGATGCGAGTAGGTAGTTAGCGGCTTCGCCACCAGGTGGCTGATTCGGGGAAAATAACATGGCAGGTATTAAAAAATTCCCTTAAACTTGAATATTCATCAGTTTTAGTGGTTCACTTTTCATATTACCCTCATGTATCTAATAGTTATACAAGTTAAAATATGTCTAGTAAAAGAAAATATTATCTGCCGAACACAAGAACAGATATTTAAATTTTTGTTGTTTTACAACATGGGGTCTATGGGGAATCTCCCCGACCTAGAAGTCACATTTTCAGAGAAAATTTAATTTTCAAAGTTGATAAACTCTTTTCAATACGACATTTCTAGATGTAATTTTACATGCAGTTTCCAAATATGACATCAGTTTGACTGAATGTGGAACTTTTAATGACGTAAATCAAGATTGTTTCTACTCGCATCTAGGATGTTGTCATGCCTTCGAACATCGGCTTAAATGAATATATACGTCACTTTATTTACTTACTCTTGTCAAAAAAGCATGCTGGAAAACGTCCTTGTTGTATGTGTAAACTGCAAACTGCAACCCTGTTTCCTGGTTAATTGTTGACTCATTGATAAAAAATGTAAAAAACCTAAGAACGCGTTCAATATCGGGATCTAATATACTATTTGAACGGTCAATGATGAGTGCGATATCGGCAAACTGGGTACAGGGGTCTACAAATAAAGAAAAACAATCAATATTAAACTATAGTGTGTCAAATAAGCCCTCTACCTCTTCCACTACTTTGAAGCAAAGTTATGGTATTATTCGTGAACAAATGAGGCGACATATATATTGTATATGAGTTATTGGCAAAAAGAGCTTTGACAATACCTACAGTACGTCCTTACCTGGGCATCCAGGAAAAGCTTGATGAATGAAATGCCCGAGGAAAGAACCACCTGGGAGACTTGGTAAACCTGGCAGACTGGGTAATTCATCATTTTGTATTTCGTCGTTCATAATTTCATCGCTCAGTATAGGTATTGCGCCAGTGAATTCGAAAGCAGCTGAAATATGTATGTTGAGGATGTGTTATTAAGAGAAAATGAAATGAATCATGTTAACGGCCATTGGCGTTGATCAACGATTTTATGTTGATGTTGATTGTCGTCAGAAAATATTTTGAACCCCTTTTGAGATAAGGCGTCGGAAAAGTAGGTCATAATAATGTTGAATTAATGAATGTATGTTTATGCTTATACTGAAATAAAAACAGAACGTGTATAAACGTACCTTGAGGATTTGATATATCGATGGGTCCCACCGCCTGTACCCCGGGTACCGTACTTGGGATATGTAGAGCGTTCCATTCCTTTTCCCCCGTATAGCTTCCAGCTGTGTTGTTGAAAGTTGTCACAATGCTTATCATCCTCATATCCTAAAACAAAAAAAACATTAATTTTCATTTGTTTTAAGCGTGTGTAGAGCCTCGGTTACACTTGTATTATGGCGGCCGTACGACAACCGTAGTTTCACAAATTCGGCATAGAACATCTACATCGTACTGCTCGTCCCTATATTTATGCTACGTATTTCTTTCGATTTCTGGAAGCTACGACCGCCGTACGGTTGCCGTTGATCAAATGTAATCAAGGAAAAAAGTCTAGTCCGGAGGCCGGATTTTAACGAATCATTCTTCAACGTTTTTATCGTGTGATCCTCTGTATTGCTACTGAGAATGTCCCCTCCGTACCAATAGTTTCTGTATTGCGACGGAGATGATCAATGGGGACAATCTCAGTAGCAATACAGATTGGTACAGCACAAGAACCGACCAATTAGAAGTCTTTATTTTACAGATCATATGATAATATATCATCTTGTATGGTATATATCACATAGCAATGTATTGCTGTCCATAGTATTATAGTTTAGTGTAGTGCAATGTAGTGAAGTGTAGTGTAATATATTTCATTTCATTTTAAACATATGCAGAAAATCGCATTTTACCATTATCATTGTTTCTTTATGTTATTCGTATTTTATTGAATATCCATTAACACTAAAGCAGAAATGCTACTTACTTTTATCTTTTTAGCCTCCTCCAGCGTTTTCTTTCGCTCAGCTTCCCAGTTGAATTTATTCTTAAATGTCACTCCATCGGTAAATGACAACACTATGTTTGGGTAATATCGATCATCCCTACCCTCAGTTTCTAATGTCTCTATGCATTTCTCTAGAGCCTTGTAGGTCAGTGCTTGACAATGCTCGCATTTGAACCTGTTATTTCGGCCTTGATTTTGAAATTCCAGTTCTTGAATCGTTAGCAGTACGGAACCAGATATTGGTTGGAATGGAATAACAACCTAGGATGATTTGAATTGACAAAATAGCTTATTTATTACAGTATTGATAAAATATGCAAGGTGGGTATTTTGTATCAATTCCACATTATTCAATATTTGAACAAAACTGCATGTTAAAATTTTTCGTATTAGCTATTTAAGCCTTTAAGGTCTCTCGGACATGAGCATTTCTTTGTCCCACTCTGTATTCTATATTTGATATTCATTAATCGATTGACAATTTATTGAAAATATTACATTCAGTAGAAAGGCATTTAGTGACATAGTGTTTATTTTGGTTTTTCATTAACTTTTCAAAATGCCATCGAGAAAAAACACCAGGAGATTTTAATCATTATCTTTAAAATTGCTCCTTTGGGAATATGTACTTTAACATGCTTGATAATTAAAATATAACTTTCTATAAATATGAACAAAATATGATTTATTTGCAGTTTTGGTAGCAATACACGAAAGTAAATTATGTGAACTTTTGAAGACGATTGGTGCATATTTATCAAAATGCCAGCACCAGTCCTGTTACTTATGGAACACCCTAGTATATAATATATATCAGTAATAAAATACCTCTATATCATTCCTGTATGTTATAAGAGTCATAGATATATCTGACCCGAATCTTTCGACAGCTTCTTCTAACGTCTGTCTCGCAAATTCAAACTCTTCCTCAGTGATGTGACATGTCTTTTGGAGTATGACACACAGATCACCATTCAGGGTTTTTGGATTATCTGAAATAATTAGAAGTGCAGTTATTAATAAGAAAGGGCTCAGGATGTGTGTCGTTCATTTAAAAGTACATGCATATACAGGGTGTTCAAGAAAATATACCAAAACTAACATAGAATAACTTAGTGAGTGGTAAAGGAATGTTCGAGTATGGACATTCTGTCATCTGATAGACAATGAATGACCATTAAAAGCTTTATGAAGTAACTCTATTTTTTGCTCGAGAAAAAATTGATTTAGTACCATCACCATTTTTCAATGCTGTACAAAGACAAACTAAGAATAACTGAGTGAGTAATGAATATTTTTGAAATGTGATCATCTGACATATTTTAATTATACTCAACATCTTAGACTTTCATTTGCTGATTTTAGTTATTTTCATAATTCGAGAAAAGTTTGGTTCAGCACCTTGAACTGCAGCATCTATTATAATAGGTAGTATATAGTGTACAGTATATAGGTAGGTAATTTAAAGCATGTCATCTAAATGTCTTCTGGGTAATTAATTTTCAAATATCTATGAATAATTCTAGAATGAATTTGGGCTATTGCTGGTAATTTCGGTATAACCTTTCGGGACACCCAGTATAATGTACGGTGTTTGCACTTGTTTCATACCAATCGATGGAAGATTCACTTCAGTAGTTATCATATTGAACAACAATATATACACATGATACGCTAGTAATTGGTTGCTGATGTTGCTGACCAATCGAAATATAACTACAAAAAAAGTTAAAAACACTATATAGAAATATACAAATGAATTGATGGATTGGACAAGTGTGTGATGTACAGGAACGTAAATGTAAAACTATCCCAAAATAAGAAAAAAATGTCGAATGGTTTGCTCAATATCCATTAAGGAGAGGATCCGTTATGATGTTGTTCATGATATTGGTAATCCTAGGAAAAATAAGGCAAAGCAATACCTTGTGGTCCACATCTAGCTTCTTCAAAACTCCTGAAACCCTCAGGTAGGCGCTCGATGGAATTTCCACTCCTTTCCATCATAAACTCATCTCGATCACCCTTTATTCTACTCATCGTTTTTTGCATCTTACGTTCTATATTGTTCACGTCTCCTTGATTTTTCTCAATGTTCTCAGTCTCCTCTTGGAATAAGATTGCTAATTTGTCAATGTCGATTCCGAATAATGGTTCCGCAGTCAAAAAGTATACAAGGCAGGTTACGAATAACATTTTCCACTCTAATGGTGTAGTTTCCTGACTGGTGTTACAATATATTCTGATATGTTTGAGCAATCAGGCTATGTGTTTATCTTAATTGCATTTTCCTGTTCATCTGAACAGGGACTTCTACTTTATATTTTAATATATCTGCATATAATGCATAAATAAGATACCACTGGACAAAGGTAGGTCATTCGGGGATCGCAATAAAAATATGCTTTAAATTGTTAAAAACAACAGTTGACGGTTATGAACTTAAAATTTCAATCAAGACTTCCAAATTAAAAAAAGCAATGTTAGTTCCATATCAATTAACAATGCTAAATATACGGGGGTCCAAGTTAGCATAGACTTATGTTGAGAACACCCCACCATCTCTAGAAAACAATATATAGATTGCAATAATGCAAACGCATTCATCGAGATTTGCTATGTCCAGGATGTGTCCTTAACATCTCATATCAGTGTTTGTAATTATGGTACAATTGTGTCTTATCATGGAAGAGTTGGAAGGTCTAATACCTTTTTAATGAGATAAAAACGCGACAACTGCATCGATGAAAAAGCAAAGTTTTGCTGATACCGCATGATATGCCTTGGTATCAATCTATTATTAAAGTGAAAATAATGAAAATAATATATATAAAGAGAGAGGGGCCATTTGGTAGAGCAAACATCATGAACCAAGTATTTTCACGTGGATACGCACTAGCTAATACGCACATAGAAATCTTAAATGATCCTCAAGTTTAGAATAAACTAGATGATGGCAACTCCGCGGAGTAGCAAATCCCAACGAACAAAATATCAATTACCGAATATCAATCAATTATAATCATTACTTTGGTTAAAATTGAAAAATTTAGATTTTAGAATTGTGAATTCCTGCAAAGCAGCCATTTTGAATTTTCTGAGGTACAAATCTGAAAAATAATACCATAATTATGATCTACTCCAAAATTCCTTCAATTTGAGTATCATATAGCCATACATTACCCTGCGTGCAGAGTCTAGTTAAACTACACTCTGCCTAGTATAGACCATATTGCAGTTTAGTAGCCCCGCCCACACGACGGGTACCGGTGACAGTTTGGGTAATAAATCACTTCTGACCTTTCTTCCACCGATCAGCGAGCTTGAAGAAACGTACACCAAATGCGTTCTAATTAAATATGCGCATGTCATTGGTCAATTCCGGGCTCAACGATGACGTCAGAAGGCATGCCCATATATAGAACGTCGGTCAAATTTGGCCGACGAACACTGATTGGCGCGGTGAGTTCACAGGTTTATTTTAGTTTGAAAGAGTGAAGACGAAGCTCTCTTTTAAGAAGTGAAGTCAAACGAATGCAAATGGTAGCCATACATTGAAGGGATCGAAAAATTGTTGCAAAATCGTACATTAGACGGCAATTTTGAATTTTACGAGGCTCGAATCAGAAAAAAAGATACAATATTTGCAATCTACTCTTAAGGTAACTTATAACTTAATCAAAAAATCCAAGATGGCCCAAACCAGGAAGCACATGGCATTTGAGTATAATCTGACCATCAAAATTAACTGTGTTTTGGTTGGATTTTCTCTCAATTTTTTAGTTCCACTGATCATTTATGTAACCAGGCTCACTGTGGTAATGCAAATAGAAACAGTAAACATTTTGGAATGGGAATTCGAGTCCTCTGAAAATGTGACAGAAAAATTGACAAAAAGAGTAGCACGGCAAAGGTCCCTGAACATTTTTTTTCTAATTTCTCTGAAACATCCCTTTAATATAGCCCAAAATGGAAGGAGCTTTAGAATTTTGAAATCTCTCATACAAATTAAAAAAAATAGAAAAAAACACTTTGAGAAGTGTACTTTTTTCCTTATTTTGATCCCAATTTTTTTATCGGGTAATTTTTCAAATTTCCGTTGCTCCTTCGTTTTTGATATATGTTTGAAGTATATTTTCTTAAATGTTCAGATATTTTAAATCAGCAGTTTTTCACGGGCTACTCCTAGAAAAAAATCTTCTCAAATTCTTTAAACGGCACTTTTTTTCTCAAACTAAAGTTTTTTGTTGTTCTTTGATGTCTTTGTAATGATTACAGTGCACAAGCATATGTGAAATAATAAAAACGACTTCTCAGGAAGAGTTTGAAAATTTCAAGATTGTGAAATTTTCAATTTTTTCTAAAAATCGATTAAGTTAACAGTCACCTTAATTGCCTTTCATTTGAGTATAATACCAAAATTTCAAACAATAATATTAATTACTTTGGTTAAGAATGAAAAATTTATGATTCTTGCGAAAAAGTCCCGTCATTTTTAAAGCGGCGGCCATCTTGAAAAATCCATTATGAATTTTCTGAGGTACAAATCTGAAAAATAATACCACAATTACTCAGATGCGAGTAGGTAGTTACCAGTTTCGCCACCAGGTGGCTGAGTCGGGGGAAATAACATGGGAGGGTATTACAAAATTCCCTTAAACTTGAATATTCATCAGTTGTAGTGATTCACTTTTCATATTACCCTTTTGTATCTGATAGTTATACAAATTAAAATATGCCCAGTAAAAGGAAATATTATCTGCCAAACACAAGAAAAGATATTTCCCTTTTTGTGATTTTACAACATGGGCTCTATGGGGAATTCCCCCGACCTAGGAGTCACATTTTCAAAGAAAATTAAATTTTCAAAGTAGATAGACTCTTTTCAAAACCACATTTCTTGATGTATTTCTACATGTAGATTCCAAATATGACATCAGTTTGACTGAATTTTGAGTTTTTGATGACGTAAATCAAGATTATTTCTACTCGCATCTAGTCTATTGTTATCAACTCCAAAATTCCTTCAATTTGAGTATTATATAGCCATACATAGCCATACGTTGAAGGGATCGAAAAATTATTGCGAAATCGTACATAAGACGGCCATTTTGAATTTTACGAGGCTCTAATCAGAAAAAAGATACAATATTTGCAATCTACTCTTAATTGCCTTTCATTTGAGTATAATAAAGCTATACTTCAGAAAGATCTAAAAATTAGCGAAAATTTCTGTTTTCCTGACCCCCCATACACGGCCCCTGGGGGTCAGGATGAAAAACACAGAATATATGTGAAATAGATAGATGTTGCGAATAGACTACCAACATTTCAAACAATAATATTAATTACTTTGGTTTAGAATGAAAATTTTATGATTTTTGCGAAAAAGTCCCGTCATTTTTTAAAGCGGCGGCCATCTTGAAAAAAAAAATTTTGCGTAAAACTATTTATCAATATACATCTTTCCACCAAATATGAAGAAAATCCGTCAACTAATATTTGAGTTATCTTCCGGACGGACGGACTGACGGACTGACGGACGGACGGAGGGCTTCACTATATCCCTACCGAACTTCGTTCGTTGGGATAATAAAATACTTCTTTGCGCAGTTGATGATCGAAATACGAAGAACTTATTTTTATGAAGTTTCGTTTAATATAGTATTATAGTTTTTCAGTGTTGTTGTAAACATATTGCTATCGATATAATGCAACTTTACAAATTCATTAGCATGGCATAATGGTAAAATTCATAATAAGTCCTCATATTTACTCGAACTTAATTAATTAAATCAATAAGCGTACGTACAACACCCTCCAATATATTGCAACCTCAAACTCATTATTTGTAATGGCTTTAAACCTGATAATGTGTGGTGATAATCAAAATAATTCAAATTGGTCTAACGTTTCTCATATGTATCTGAGTAAAAAATTCACATTTATTAACAGAACAGTCTTTCACAGATAATTCAATAGGCTGGGTAATTAAACACTACTCTAGGGGGTGTATGTTATTTATAATAAAGGACGGTTGAAGATTTCGAAAGCTTAATTAACAGTAACTATAATTTAATCAAGATAATAATTTTGAAGTTTGACGTGCATCGCAATATCAGTCTGTATAGATTTAATATTGAAAAGTATGATGTTCAATGGATTCGGAATAATGAGTTGATACACATGAATAGACATTCCGATGAAATTAAAATTCAATAACATAATCTGTTATACGTTCCTATTGCAAGCGAAAGTTCATGGGATCCGGATGTCAAGATTATGGAGCGATTTATATCCCGGATATACCTCGACTACGATTCATTTTACTCTTATGTTTCAGTATACCAAAAAAACTCCATCCAATGGGTTGCCATTTACGTACAGGGTGTCCAAAAAAACAGGACCGTAAGAAAGTTAAATAACTCGGTCAATTTTGCATATTTTGCCTTGAAATTTAAGAATTATTTAGTTCATTCAATGTGAATTTTGTTCTGAACGTTTGATGATAATCTGTTCATTGTGTCAAAAACTACAGTCCTTTACAAAACATGCTCAAAGTGGGCAATTCTCCTCTCTATGCACAAACGAATCCTGCGAACAAAGTTGTTAATGACCCTGACCTTTACACATTAATGTGGATGGTAAATATTGGGGTAGTTATTGCCCTCTTAAGATTGTTAGGGGCCTGTCAGTATACTCATTGGCTTTGAGAAATCCTCAAAGATAAAAATTTGGGGGATTTAGATCAGGCGAATGAGGTGCCCATATGGTTTGCGTTCTGCAACTGATGAGCTGACCACCAAAGCATTGCCTAAACCATTTCAGCATATCATTTGTTGTGTGGGGGTGGTATTGGCTTGTTGAAACCACTGCTTAATTATCTCCTTAGATGTCCCTTCTGGTGCTTATGACCTCCAAAACTTGGTGAGAACTTACTGGTCCTTGTTCATGGTGATAGCACATCCCCAGTCACCTTCGAACCAAAAGGGACTGATGATTCCATGTTTCCTCATTGCCACCCAGGCAGTGCATTGTTCAGAATGCAATGGATGCTGTAACACTTCATCAGGAGGATGTAAGCTCTAGTAGCAATTGTTCTTTGAACAAACTTGTCCATTCAGAAAGACATATGTGTAGGAGGATCATCAACAACTTTGTTCGCCGGATTTAATTGAGCATAGAGATGAGAGGTGCACATTTGAGGCATGTTTTGTAAGGAGCTGTAGTTTTTGACTCAATTGATAGATTATTATCAAACTTTCACAACAAAATTCACATTGAATGAACTAAATAATTCTGAAATTTCAAGGCAAAATATGCAAAAGTGACCGAGTTATTCAACTTTCTTACGGTCCTGTTTTTTTTGGACACCCTGTATATGCGTTTCATTTATTGTTAATTAAGAAACATAGACCAAAGGGCAGGGGTAATATCGTCGAATCATACAAATACAAAATAACACCGAAGAATGGTAACTTGTACCCTGGTCGTGGTTTCGACGTCTAGTTAATCCACATCTTATTGGCTCGTGCTGAGGAAAGAGCCATATCTCACTTGGGTTTAGTAGTAAGTGATAACGACAATGGACTGAGGTTTAAACGTTAATTTATTAGTAGAAAACCTGATGGTTAACATTTATCGATGAAAATGAGTTAATTCCTCGAGCAAAAGTTTAACCCTAAGGTGTTAGTTCATAATAAAATTGCGTTAGAGAGGGTTTCAAACGATATATACGCAATTTTACAACAACACCATACGAGCGACTTCTTGATTTAGAATTGTGAACAATTTACAGCATTAAATAACTCCGAACATTTAACTATTTTATTAATATCTTCGGAGAACGAGAATCAAATTGACCCATCTTCACTTTTTGATATGTTTGGATGTTTTCTAAGAGGTCCAGGTACTCAGACCTTCACAATTTAAAGATCTTAATCAGTTCAAAATGTTCGGATTTTTTTTCTACTTTTGCCGTTCGGTAAATTACAACCGCGTTAAAAGTAAGCATCCCTATATATCAATACAATTCATTACAACACTGCAAACATCTCCTTCACACGAGCCTTCATTTTTTTAAATGATATCTTGTTTACATTAAATACGACTATGATTTTTTACAACATCAATAGTGGCATATCGCATATTTTCTGTTTTTCAAACAACACACACATTATTTGTCACCTCTAGATACATTTCTCAATACTCATTTATATCATCATAGGTGCAATGCATGTCTCATGTAAAATTGCCCTTTAATATTTTAGTTAAATAGAACAACAATTTTATTTTAGTTAAATATGAACAACAAACTTGTAATAGACACCGGTACAGAGTACTGAATACAATCATTTGACCGAATCAAAATGTTTAGATTCAACATTCCAGGACATGTGATAAAATCGTCATCACGCGTTTCAGCCTACGTGATACAGGAAATATTCCACTCGAATAATAATGTTACACTACTCAAGCTTCGCTTTCGTGGATGAAACAATGTTATCTTTCGTGGAATATATCCTGTATCACATGCTGAAACGTGTGATAACTAATAGTATCTACTGCACACATTATTAGTGTTCAGGTTGGGTTTCAACTTTAAAATTACTTATTTTATTTACAGAGTTATTTTACATAACACCGGTAGATGATAAATATCTCAAAATCTTGCCCACTATCGTTGCTTTTCAAAAACACCTTCACAACTTTGCATGAGACTAGCTGTCGCCTTTTAGTCAAAGTCGTTATTTTGGAATGTACATACACTGGAGTCAGCTCCCTCTGAAAGGAGGAATATAATACATGACACTAGACTAAGCTAACAATGCACATCCAAGATTCTAGGATTTTGGGGTCAACAGTCTTTATTATTTTACTACAAGCATTACAGTCTCTGATAAATTAGAATGTGAATTTTCATTATATTTTATTTCGACAGTAGCGTTATCTATCCATACTTAGGCACGGTGTATATCCCAAACGCTCCTACATGCACAACGGAGCGTTTCATTGCTGAGATTAAACAAAGAAACGCTCCGGAGTAGGAAAACTGGCTGGCGGGAATGATGAGCCGTCTGACGATTTCCCCAATAATGGGAATAAGAGGTATGAGTTCCATATTTCGAGTATACCATTCGATGAGTGTGATATTCATGTTGTACTTAGCTGGCTGTTGACGTTTGAAGCAATTAGGAAGAGCTGTACGAAGCAGTATAGTTCTCAAAATCCAAAAACGTATTTGTCATTCTACCGGTCAAAACCCCTTTTGTCGATACATGTGATTAGTTGAGCCAAGATTAGAGCACCAACGTATATTTTAGTCAAATTCCAATGCTTCAACGCACCATACATTATCGTAATAGTAATTTGATGACCGAAAATCCAGTCTTAAGAATGATGACATTCTCATATTCAAGAAACGCTCCGATCTGGTTAACTCAGTGAACTGGAAACGCTCCGGTAGTCTAGATCTGTTTAGGAAATATATAACTTGCCTTTCCTTTTCAGGAAGAGAAAGAAAAGATCTATTATACCCCTTGGCATCAAAAGAAAAAAGATTAATTTACATATAAATTTTCGTTTTTTTCTATTGTTTTATGATTTAGCACACATGTAGGCATGACATCATCTAATGTAGGCTTAAATCAGCTAGTTGCACGTTAAGCACCACCAGGTTCAGATGTTTCAATTTACCTAACAAGTTTTTGAGAGAACGATTCGATTCGGAACTCTTCTCTAATTATCTGAAAATGATATCAAAACAAAATGGAAAGAGCGTTTCTAAAATTGTGTTCTAAATCGACGGAGCGTTTCGAGGAAAACAAGCGATTTCTTGAGAACAAGTAATGGATTTGGACTGGGATTTTAGAAAATGAGAATATACGGGTTTGTGATCTACTATTTTAACAGAAAGATTAACGTTTTCATAGAAGTACTAGTTTAATTCGTAATTTGTGGTCAAATCGTCATCTTCAGATTCGTTCGATCTACACTACGGAGCTTTGATCAAGCAAATAACAGTTTACCACCAGAAGTTGAATAAATAAGATCTTTGCTCATGGTATTGTTCATCGAATGGTACATAATATTTCACCATAACGTATGATATTTAAGAGAAACGAGGGAAACAATACTGACGGTCATAGTGGAATCTTCATTAGCCGCCATTTTATTTCGCTCCGGAGCGTTTCCGCGTAAATGAAACGCTCCGTCGTGCATGTAGGAGCGTTTGGGTTATACACCGTGTTAGGGGCATTTAGTTCTCAACATATAAATATAATTTAATTTAAATCTATACCTAGGGATATGTATAATGATGCACTCTATCGGTAATCAATTAAAAGAAGTGCACTCGCCTTTATTCGTCTTGCAACAAGACGTTTTTATTAGATTATAAATCAAGTCCGTTCAGAAAATCGTAATCGTAACGACACATGTGACATTAGTTCCCAGATGTATGACATTTTTTTTAATCGCCATATATGGAAAGATATTAAGTGATTCAGAAGGAAGACTTCGGGTTTCCAAACAGATTGAGGGGAGTATATACATGTACCTCTTGTCTTTATTAAAGCTTTAACAAAATCTGTTTTCGCATTAAAATTCCAAGGTGGTAGAATAAGTTACTGCCAATGATGCAATCGATTGGAAAATACTTACTTTTACATAGTTCATTTGTCAACATAATGCCAGCAAGATAAAGATCATCGAAAGTAGCATTTGGCCTTTGCATGTTGACGATGGTGCATTCTATTGGCTCACTCGCTAATTGACTCCATTCAGTCATTCCATCCATATGCCCGTATCTACTGGGAAGTCCTGCGATAGCATATTTCAAATGTTAAAGCTATGATGTCTGAATTTGCCATCTATTAAATGGTTAAATGTGAATAGATATACATATTATAATTGTATCATACTGTTTAGAATACTTTTAAAGTTTGAAGAAGAATTTTCAGAAGAAATTTAATTTAATTTTGTGACATTTTGAGCTGAGTGTCAATTTATATTGACTATTTTTTATATTGGTTACAGATTCAGGATGTTCGAGTGAAGAGACATATGTTTATTCCACATATTCATAATCATTTTTCAAAATATTGTATGTTTATGAGTGTTTGGAACAAGTGTCAGATCTAATGTTGTAATTATATTCATTTATTATGTTTGACAAAAAATGTTGAGAACAAGCGCTTCAAGCACTTCTTTTATTCAATTTATTATTTGATTCACATGATAACATGAAAGCATTGCAAACTCAATTTTTCCCTAATATGCACCCATAATACTGAAAATAATCTTGGGTACGAGTTGTCTTGGGTACCAGTTGTCTTAGGTACGAGTTGACTAAGAAGCTGTACGTCAATAACAACGTTTGCATTGTCTATTTTCTTCATATATATTTACCTATAATATATATCTCTACCTCACGAGCCGCAGCTATCTTTGCAGCTCTTATGGCTAACGTAGAGTCAGCTCTTTTAGCACGGGGTCTCCAGGCTCGACCATCAGTGGCGATAATAATCGTCTTCCTTGACTCCTCTCTACCATTTACCAACAAATCTGTCATTGCCTGGTTAATTGCAATTCCTGTATCCGTGTACTTCGCAGTCTCTAACGGTATGCTCTTCACTACACGTATCAGTTCTTCTTTAGTTGTATACTACAAAAGACGGTTTGGTTACTTCAGGTCTATTTAAAACAGCCGAAACTTCCCCCAAAAATGTTAATTCCATCAATGCGCTTCTAGAGGCCTTAAATGTAGTTTTTGTTTATGTGGATTTTTTCACTACCCCGAAATTAAAGCCCTAAAATCAAAACACGACGTTACGTAACCATATGACTTACCTGACCTACTGTCGAATGTTTATATATCTCACCATTGTATGAATATATAGCAAATTGTAATCCCGTGTCAGGTTCGATTAAAGACTCCCCGAGCAAAAATATGAAGAAATCCAAGACGATCTGTAAATCGGACACAGCAATGCTTTCTGACCTGTCGATAATGATGACTATATCAGCAAACTGGTTGCAAGGATCTGAATAAATATAGTCAAATTGTGTGTACATGTAGTTTTATATGTAGTTTTACATGTAGTTCTATAATCCTGTAATTGTGAATTGTTTTTTTTGGTATAATAGAAAACTTGTGTTACCCCCGAGTTCTGCTCGCGTTACATCTAAATGATAATATTTTATGTCTATTAAACACGAGATATGCAGTAGAGCCACTAAAATTGCTTCCTAGAATACAAATACTTTTGTCCAATAAAAATGTAATTACATTTTACACAACTTGTATACAATGGGTAAACGAGATTCTATAATCTATCATACTTTGGAAATGATTATAAAGTTGTTCAGCCATTGGAATAAATGTTATGAATGTTTGTTTTTTATTACTAGCACTGCCTTGAATAATGTTACTTATGATATGTGTCCACATGTGATTGTTGAATTATGTTATGCCTTGTTGGAGTCTCAAGAAAAACTTACCGGAACATCCCGGAATAGCTGTATATATTTGCTTTTTGAAAGACCTAACATGCATTGCAGTCAATGTCTCGTCAAGGGAGAAGCTCGGTTCGTCATTAAACACCAAAGACCCTGCAAATAACTGTTAACATAACTATCATATATGGTTCATTTTAATCCATTGTACCCACCTGAACAAAGAAAATAAAACGACATCTCTCGAAATGAAATCAAGTTATATTAGGATATTCGATGAAAAGATGTTGATGGAAATTTATTGAAAATACATGACATGTCAAACGAAGTGTGTTTGAACTTTATACAGATATGTGCTGTTGGATCTATCCTAATGCAAAGTCTGAGGCTTACGTGTATATACATGTGCGTTTGGGTCGGTCGCTGGGAACGGATCGAGTTGTGTTACCCCATCCATGTTACTTGGTGAATTCAGGGCATGCCATTCATCAAATCCTGAGTGGCGCCCGGCTGAATTGTTAAATGTTGACACAATCGTGATGATACCCTCTCTCTAAAAATGAATTATTTGCAATGATAGGCTCATATAAATCAATCACGTGAGTCTCAAGTTGTATTCATGGAACTCAATTATAAAACTCTCGAATTGTTTTCGGTGCCTATTCGACGGAAATTATACATGGATCAAAGATGGAAACGGGGATTTTCTCGATTCTTTATTTATTTCTTCCTGTAATTTGTTAAAATGATTGACTAGCCTTCAGCTTATATGTACAAGGTGTTCAATAAGTATTGCTAATTTTGCTATAACTTTTGTTCTGTTTGCTTTTTCTTGATGAACTTCAACAACACAAGGTAAATATATCTGACTTTGTCCAATAACAATTTTAAGTCAATTGAATTAGTATTAGTAAAACTATGGTTACTAAGGTAACCAGTGTCATGGATATGCGAGGCAAAGTTCTGACAAAGTTCACTTTAGACGACATTTTGAGTATTGAAAGCAGTATCATGTAATACTCTTGGGATATTCAGTGCAGTTACAAATAATCCATTCCCGAGCCACTTCATGATCCCTTTTCACTTCATGAGGTGCTCAAAATAGGCAACCTCAGTGTCAATGCACAGTTGCTGTCTGGGGACCCACTCGAGGTACACATTTTTGAAGCCACTCTTGAAGTGTGTGGCTAGGGAGGTGTTCACTGCAGACATCAGTTGATTGAAATTCTGGTGTGATATTCATCTCAGATCTCTTTTCACTGGGGCAAAATCAAGTGGGACATTATCTGGGGAATATGCTGCATGGGGCAATGCTTCCATTCCAAGCTCTTAGTTTATCTATATGTATATTATCTTTGATGTTATGTTATGTTCACCTTATTTAGCAGAGCTTCTACAATGGTTTCAGCTCTGTCTTCATTCATGGTAAACTTGCTCTTCATAGAGACTCCATCAGTGAAGATCATGATTGCATCAGGGAAGTATCTATTGTCTCTTCCCTGATGTATCAGTATCTCTCGACAAGTTCTCAGGGCATCGCCCGTAGCAGCTTCACAATCACGACAACGTTGGATTCTCCTACGTAATCTCATTTTTCTCATACGCTCCAAAAGGATTCCACCATTTTCTTGGAATTCTACAAGAACCTGAATATTTCAAATGAGAAAGTTATCATGCAATACACAAGAGGTAATTATTTTGTCACATTTCTATTGTTTTTATTGTACTATCATATCCTAAGACCATATTATACTAGCGCCTCGGTCATATCTGCTCTACGGCTGGGATATTACAGTTATAGATTACCAAAGATGAGAAAGACCAACAGTCGATTTAAAATATTGCTATTGTACTATTGCTTCAAATTAACTAGGAACAGTGGGTTTGATATTGCGTGTAACAAATACACCAATTGCTGCCATCCCGGTTCGGATGGTCAGGTTGAATAAGTTAAACAAATAATTGGTACGCAACTAGGTCAACTAAACGCACCAACCTTGGGTTTATCGCTATACCCCACTATGCTTAAGGAGACATCAGTCCCGAATCTCTCGGCAGTTTGGACAATTATATTTCTTGCAGCTTCCAGTTCTCCATCTGTTATATGGCATGTTGTTTGTATGATAACACAGAGATCAACATTCATCGATGCAGGGTCACCTACAAGACAATACATCATTTAACGAAAGAAGAATCAAGGTAGAATGTGAGAAACTATTGTAATGGGCAACATAAGCTGTTGTGCGTTACCTCGCAAGTTGAACTCGTCTATTCACAATGAAGATGATAAACATCATAAAGCCATGGATTACGTCAATGAAAGAATAATTGACAACGTCTGGTCACCCTGTATGCATTTAAATATTTTTTATTTTGTTTGTTTTGTGTGTTGATTTACCTTTCCGGGCTATGTAGGTGACTTTGTTATTTAAATTCTTGTCTGGTGATTAATGATTTACATATTACAGCTAAATCGTACTGCAAACATCGATTGGATTTTTATAAGAAACTTTTCTGAGTTGAGATTTATTGCGATTCAATGTGTTTGTACTTGTTGTCGACGGTACTGACATCCATTCATCAAGACCATTGATTCACTGGAGGATGTTACCCATAAATCACTACGTACTTGCTGGCCCACATGTTCTCGATTCAAAAGCTGAAGGAAGTACATTGACTAAAGAGGACCCGCTTCGCTCTAACTGTAATTCCCCTCGCATTAGTTGCATTATTCTACGGGCAATGCTGCTATCAATTATCGGGAAGAGTCCTCTTATATCATCTACGTTTACACAGTCCACCTTAGGTATATACGTAGCAACCAACACATTGAAGATGAACAGGAAAAATAGTACCATCGTCCTAAAAAAATGAAATATTGAGTTATACCAGATTTACCCTTCCAAATAAACTAATATCAATGATTTTTACTTATTATGTGTAAAATTGTTTATAATATATTTTGATTTACGCGCATCTGAGCCATTTATTACGTTATATACACCTTTTTTACATCGATATATCATTTAATTGAAACACACCTTGGATAAAGAAACTAGTATTTTTTATATCTTAATCAACCCCCCTCCCTCATCCAAATGGCTGGAATCGAAGTATTATTGACTTGATAATGACGGTTGGATTACCATTACTCTAAAGTAGAGAACAGTTACCGAAGGTCTTTATATTCCGTGTTTTTTAAACGAACCATGATGTTATTTGATCTGTCTATATTGCATTATCGTTGTCAGATATTTAAATTGTCTAATGACAGCAGCACATATATCATAATCACCGTCATTACATACTAGTTCATTTCCACATTCATAATAGGTAATGCGAACAATATACTGGGCATTTTACAATGATTCATCAGAGCAACCATGGTATCTTACATGTATTTGTGATTCCCAGAACAGAACGATAAACAAATTACCCATTTTTAATTAGTTAAATGTAATAAAATACTTACTGATCTCCGCTTTAATATAGGATTGTAATAATTACCTGTTTCCATCTAAAAGGTGATAATGGAAATACACAACCAAGATGTATTTCGTCGATTAATGTGGTAAACTTCCGTTAAACACGATTTTTCAAATCTGACAATATACGTTTATGAGGCTATATCACTATTACGAATAATTTTGTACTTTGACAAAACATACTTATTTGAATTATCTAGATCAGTGTAGTCATACCATATTTATACGAATGTTACTACCAAAGGCAGGTTGTATATAAAAAAATGTTAATTAACATCCATTTATTTAATATTACAACTTAATCAACCACATGCTTTGTAGAATATATTGCATGTATTTGGTTTATGCAAATACCAGTCTCTGTATTTACAATGGTGAGATAGCGATGAACTTGAATAATCGTGACTGGCGATAATCCTGTCAATGAGGTAAACATAAGCCAGTAAATCATACTTTATTAATAAAGGAGTTAAGCCCAAGACTCAATGCATTGTTTGCTGAATCATATCATGGAGGTGTTGTTCCCAAACCTTTGCATGACCGCGCAGCGGAAATGCAAAGCTTAGGCAACAACGCTTAGGTGGAATGAAGCAGCTACAATGCATTGAGTCTTGGGCTTAAATTCATTTCACACATTGCAATTCTTCTATAAAATCATTTAAAAGTAACGAAATCACTAAAAGAACACATTTCCGAAGACATGTTTTGCAAGGGTCAAGTTGGCAAGTCATCAATCAAATGTGAAAATGAAAAAATTCATTCATCACCATGACAACTATTTAACTAGCGACCTTGCATGTGTTATCGATATCTCACACACTGTTCATTATGTGAATAATCTGTTTGGATTGGCTGGAATTGGACACACCTTGCCTAGCTATGTGTGAATTATCATTCTTTCAGCGACCTGTTTGAGTCGTGAAAATATTATTATAATATATACGATATCCATTTGTCTTCTCGTACATATTTTTTTGTTTTAAATGCAAAATCATAAATCACACAGGTTTTTATTCAAAAATGTACGATTTTTACATTACGATGTTATTTTCCTCATTCCGTTCCCTGAACATCATAGGCATTCTCAATATGCCATCTCTGATCTGTTACGTTATAAACCATATGATTCCAGATCACAGATCAATAGTCTAACCAGTGAGTGAAGTTTCTTTGTGGTGCTTCGGTCGCATTGAATCCACACGGCGACTGTGAGATATCATCTTTGTCACATGAAATTAAAAAGCTATATTAGTAATCAATTTAACTAGTTCTCTGAAAGCTATTGACCTTACATATTATACATTTCGCACGGGATAACAAAACGCGTTTTACACTTAAATTGATTAAAGTTAAAGTGTGATTTAAAAATCACCAAATAGGTCAAGGGTAGTTCCAAGACAAATGTCTGCAACCCCCCCCACCCTCCTCTTCTTTTTTAAATAATGCATTTTGCAACCGTTTAAGAATCAAGCTGATTTAGGCGTAAAGGGGCAACGTTATGATTGTCAGAAGTTGAAAAATGAAATTCATGATATATTGATCGTTACATTGATTCAATATACTGCAGAAAATGCAGAGGTCATTATTCTTCTGTTTGATAAATATTAAACACACTAAATTCTCCTCTAGACATGTTTATTTTTATGAAATTCGAACCACCTCTTCTGATTTTCAGTTTTTCAATTTCACTAATATAAGTTATATACTGTTGTACTATATGTAATTACAAGGCAAAATAATGAACCAAAATTATGTTGGAATAATACCAGGTCAAACTTTCATTTATTTTCTTACTTAATCGCTGATTTGAAGTACATCTTGAAATATGAAATGTTAAAGACAGAATTGAACTTGAAATTATATTAAATTATATTACGCGTTTCATTAATTTCAATGAGATTTCGCAATACCCGCAACACCTCAGTTCAGTTATAAAATTGAACAAAAATGTCCTTGATTTTTGTATTATTTGAAAGATTATAAATATACTATTTTTTTTTTTCTTTAATTTTTTTTTTTCAACGCAAAAACAGATTTACATAAGGATTATAAAACACACAAAAGAAAAAATACAAAGTCTTGCGAGCACTCGTATAGTAAGCATGATAGTTTGGGGTTTTCAATTAGTTTATTTGAAAACAGTCCCACTTAGCATTATGTTTTCTTATTTTCGTGATATCAGGAGTCGCTATTTTGTACTCTATGTTTTTAATATCTTTCAAGAATGTTATAAATTCTTCAATGTTCAGCTTTTTCTAGACATTTGGTAAAATAGATATATATATTTCCAAGCATATACAGATATACTATCATGATGGGATATCCATTTGTGGCACCAGCAAATTTCATTTTAATAGAAAATTTTTATTTTTTCACAAAATGTCAAAAATGTTCACCCCTTGGATCACGTTTACCTCAGTGTGACCTTTGTTGACCTATCTTTCTAGAAAACAACACTTCTGAAGAGGTAATTGAATAAAACGAGTCCAATTGAAATGATCCCCTTGCGACTTAGTGTTATGAATAAATGTTGCAGACATTAGGTTTAATTTAAATATGCAGATTTTATAGCCCCTGTAATAAAATACTGAATCATACCTTTACATAATTCATTAGTTAACATCACCCCAACAAGGAAAAGATCTTTGAATCCAAACCCTTCCTGTTGCATGTTAATGACTGTGCAACCAAGTGGTTCACTGGCAATACTATTCCATTCTTCAAGTCCATCTATTAAGTTTTTGTTTGGAAGACCTGGAGGAGCAATACTTTGCTTTATTATTGTTCGTCTCCACTTTGTATATTATTCTAGGGTTTGATTAAAACAGGAGTAAGAAGCATGGGCTATTCCAATAGTGCTGGATGGATTATAACACGATGGTGATGATGCAGATTCTTCATATTTCTGCTTAATAAGTATAATAATGATGGAAGAAAAACCAATTGTTCTCTATAAAAATGTTTTTCTATATAACATTATTTTTGGAATGAGAAAGTCGGTTTAGAAAATATTTACACCAAGGAATGATATCATTAAGAACGATACCACACGTGTCTTGTTTCATCAATCCCCAGTTTCAAATACCTGTGCCGTTATCAATTAATTTAGTCTTAAACAAGAACGTGGCCTTACAGGGACTAAAACTCTTGATTTATTATATATTACCTAATGCATATATAGTAGTGTTATCCGCTTTGATTATGTTTGCCAATTTGATAGTCAAAGTGGAATCTGGTCCACTATCACCTGGACCCCTGGATCTCCCATCCGTTGCTAAAATAATATTACGTCTTGATCCTTCTCTTGCGCCTCTTTTAATGATGTGACGGGCATAAATGAAAGCAGATGCTGTGTCCGTGTATTTTGCAGTTCTAACTGGTATATCGTCCATCTTTTGTAAAAGTTCAGCTTTTGAGAAATTCTGAAGAAAATGATACATGGCAGAACATTTAATATATTATGTTTTGAATTAAATTGACGTGTGGGTTTGTAAATGCATTGTAAATAGTATAGAAGCATCCGAGCACTTATTGATACCATTATTTTGTCTACTTTACCTTTCCGAAATCTGCATGTATCATTACTTTAGAATTGTACGATATCACCGCAACCTGAAGACCAGATTCGTAGTTAATGTCCGAATTTTCTATGAATGACTTGAAGAACTTGATGACTAGTGCAAGATCGTTTACGGGGATGCTTAGAGATCTGTCGATAATTATAACCACATCCGAAAACTGTATACAAGGCTCTGAAATAAAAAGAAATTCCCAAAGCGCTTGAGATTTTACGACAATTGTATGATATTGACGGATGGCAAATAGATGACTGATAAAAGTGATAAAATATGGACATTAATAAATAATCACTTTTTTAGGATGGATTATATTTGAGGTGTATCCTGGGTTTGTTGTAAACGATTCTAAACTAATTTTAAACATATCATATTGCAATTGTGTAATACAGACTGATATATTTCATTTTAGCTGCTGTTTTAGCCTGTACTATTTTTCTTTGTATATTACTTGCACATCCAGGAAGAGCCATGTATAAGTCACTCGGCGCAGGGCGTGCAGCATGATCAGCAAATACATCAATATAAAGACCGTCGTCCAACTGGAAGGCTCCCGAGGTGTCAGATACGGGGAATGGCATTAACTTTGCGACGCCGTCTCTCGTGCTCGGTGAATTAATTGCGTTCCATTCCTTCTCTCCAGTAAAGTGGCCATCAGTATTGTTGAACATTCCAACTATAGTGGTTGCACCATCCAACTAGATATTAGTTATCAGTTAAAGAAGCTGCATAAATGATTTAACCCCCCCCCCTTTGCAAGTTGAACCTAGTTGATAGCGTGTCGACACATGCTCCACACGCTGACTTTCCAATGTTCGGTGTCCTAAAGTCATTCCAACATCCAAATCTGCTCAACTTAGTTATTATGAATATAAATTAGGACTTGATGCTCATGATTCTTTACTTGATTTACATCTAGAGGCATATCAAATATTAGAATACTTATGTACCACGTTAAGTTGAAGCACAATTGCACAAAGGTGTAGTAATTAAACAACATCGATGTAACGCGTTTGACCTATACAGGGCGTATCAAAAATAACGCAACAAGTAGTTATCTCGTAAAATCACGAAACTAGTGATGACTACATCAATTTCATTTAATGTACCATAAAGCCATATCTCTTCTCTTTGCAATGATATGTCATTCATTCACATGTGGTAATGGTTGGGTGAGAAATCCTTCCATTTGCACAGTGGGTCAAAATCGGCTCTGCACCAAGTTTTAGATATTGAAAAAATGCCAATGGAAGTTTCCCTGACTTGAATTGTTGTGACTTTTTCTTTTGGACCTATCTCAGGAGCATCTGTGCTCACAATTCCTCCACCAGATATTGCAAAACATCTAGAAAGATTTGCCCATGGGCTGCTTTTCTCTGCTTTAACCCACAGATGACTCAGGACTGGACCATGCATGACGTGGACAGATGAGCGCATCTTTGTGTGCAAGGAAGTGGTGGCAATTTGGAGGGGTATAGGATGTATTCTTGCAAGAGTATGAGTATGAACACTTTACTGTCTATGCCATACCTGTCACACCTTCTTCCAATAGCCCCTTTGCCCCTTGTACTGACTTTCGCAATGTTTTAAACTTGGTCCGAGCTGAATTTTTCCCCGCTTTGCAAAATTAATGATTATTCGGCCAGAGATGACTCCCCGTGATGGAATGATTTTCCATTGCAAAGAGGAGTAATTTGGCTTTTTGGTACATTGAATTAAAAGAATTCAGTAAGCATTGGTTTTATGTTTTCGTCCAATATTGCATCGGGCTCCGTACGCTGACTTTTGCAATGTTTATAACTTGGCCCGAAGCTAATTTTGGCCCACGCAAATGGAGTGATTACTCGCCCAACCATGACCAAATATCAATGAATGATATATCATTGTAAAGAAGAGACACACGGCTTTATGGTGCATTGAATGAAATCAATGCTGTTATCACTGGTTTTCTGCTTTTCCAAAATAAGAATCTGTTGCGTTTTTTATACACACTGTATAGCCCAAAAATAATTGTTTTATCTTACGGCATTCATATCAGCAGCTTTAATGGTTCTTCTTCTATCTCTGTCCATTGTAAATTTTGACTTCATTGTTACACCATCCGTGAAGATCATAATAGCATTCGGGTATATGTTATCAGGTCTTCCTTTATTTCGCAGAATATCACCACAAAGGTTAAGAGCAATATCTGTATTCGCGTTGCAATGTCGACAGTTATCTGGTTTACGTTTTATCTTCTCAACAGCATCGAGGAAATCACCCCCGTTTTCTTGAAACTCAATAATTTCCTACAATTTTGAGAAAATAATAAACAGTTTGACAGCCATGTCTGTTTCAGAGCCAAAACTGTGATAATTATCGTTCTAAGTGTGAATATGGAATGGGATGTTCGAGGAAAAAATAAAAAAGAGTAAAGTACCAGCTATGTAGTATTACATGCTCGATATATCAACAAGTTAATATATTCCAGAAAATACTTAGATATTTGAGCAAGTACTTCGGCATCGTCGCTATACGCGACCACTGCTATGGACACAAAAGATCCCAACCGCTCTGCAGTCTGGTACATGATGCTCTTTGCTTGCTCTATCTCGGTTAAACTTATGTGGCAAGACAGTTGAATGATGAAACACAAATCTAAATTAATAGCCCCCGGGTCTCCTGCATGCATACAAAAGTGTATAAAAATTATAATTTATAGCAGTTCAGATAATAATCAGCTATATATTTAGTTGCGAAAACCGGGCTTCATACTTTGTCAGTTCCTACATGTAGTTGATATGGTTACGAATGACACATTGAATTATTCGATTAAAAATGACACGTTGGACACAATGGAGGATTTAAAATGTGCACCTTATTGTATCATTCTCCCGTTTTATTTCTTTTCCGGCAATTATTTCTTTAAATCATTCAAAGGTTTATCTATTAGACAAAATCAAATGTCAGATCGTCTCCAACCGATATCTGAATCAGAAAATATATCAACGTCATAACGCATTCATCTGCACCCATTCCAAAAATTAATACAAAGATGCAATGTAACGATACAGACACTTACGTAATGCTCCACACTTCGGTATGTTAAACCCAACTGGGAGTGACGGTATTTCTGGAGGAGGCAATCTCCCTCTGTCTGTTCGTACTTCATCTCCTCGGAGTAGCATCATAAGTATTTGTGCATATTCTTCATCTATTGGAATTGAATTGTTCAAAGTCTCGATGTCCACAGCGAAAATATGACTCCCAGTGCGCAGTATGATAAACCATTTTAGGAGTATGTTGGTATCCATTATTAAAGGTATATTATCTATCTCACGTTAAAGGTCTTACTGGTGTTTGTAAGTTCCAAAGAAAATATTTACTCTCATAACATTGCCTATGAATTATAATCATATGGAACAACTAGTTCAAGTTCAAGACAAGCATTGAATTTATGAGCAAATGTTCTTGATGTTTTTTCGTATCATTTTGTTGTTTACTTACAGAAATCCATAATTATATGAATTAGATACAAATCATCGGTGCGAAAATCTGATAATAATATACTCTAAATGGTGTACTATTGATGATACCAATAGTACGTATAATATGTTATAATATAAAGATAGTGAAAATTGTAATATTTAAACTGTGTTTGAACCGAATCTATTTTATAATGAATAAATATTTGTTTAGCAAGATTGAAATTGACATTTACAGTGACGGACATTGACATTGAACATAGCATAATTAATCTATTACTTGACTTATAACAGCTTGTAAGAGGATGGCATCACTGTCAAGACATGTTTATGCAATGTGTGCAGAAATATGTGAATAGAAAGGAAAATGAGGGTGAAGTTGGACAGGGGGGAATAGCTGCATCGGGTATGGGAAGACTCAGATGGAGATGGGAGCATGCTCCTGACTTTGAAATGACTGGCACGAAAATATATTTAAGAGAAGAGAGAGCCTGTGGAAGCAGCTTTCAGTTCCAAGGAAACTAGAGAACCTCAGAAAAAGAACTTATTCCAGTATATATCCAACATAATATGGAAGCTTAAGAAAGGAAAATTGTACCCCATAGACAATGTCAAAAAGGGTCATATAGTGACACTGCGTTATCGACTCCATAAACGAATTATCCAATACCTATAGCAGTGCCATCTCTCAATATCGCGAGGTGACAGCTAGATAGAGATCCGAAAAATAGTACAAACAAGCACGCTGATCATCAGGTTCTTAGTCTTAGTAAGCTCATGAAGTGTTTTGGAAGAAAGACCATTCTAAATATATGGGCATTAGCAGAAGGCTGTTTTGTACAAAGGAGTAAAACTCTGAGAGTCTTTACCAATTCAGTTTAATCTCTTCTGAACGTTGAAGGGCATTCGTAGCCGGGAGATTAACATCATATCTACTGAAGAACAATGAGCACCTCGACACAAGTGTCAGATTAGAACACACATTTATAGCTATCACGCAACTGATTAAATAAGCAAAACATTAGAAGAAAGTCACTTGCAGTAGTTTGGCTTGACCGAGCCAAGGCATATTTATGTGTTCTACAACAACTAAATTATAAATATCAATGTATCGTGTTTATCAAAGAAAGTTACTTAGTTTTACTTTAAATTATCACAACTGATAAGAGATGTTGTATTTATCAGATAGATGTTTTTTTAACTTTTAAGTGGCGTCAACTAATAATCCGTTTAATATGATGTCCTTAAAACCTATTTATAGGTCGGTATACAAAGAAAAACTTTTTCAATGATCAAGCGACTTGCAAACAGAAACCAATCCAAATAATATCAAAGATTCATAAAATGAGACTACTTCGATTTTTATTGATTGATCAAAAATATAAAAAAACAAAGGGCAATAGTAACTTGGTTAGATTGGATTAAACATCTATAACTACTTCTGAACTGTTTATGATTCCGTTCCCTGTTCTCCATGTTTGAATATACACCCTGTCTTCTCCAATGAGGCTAAAATAACAACAAATATATTAACGAATAAACGAATAAAAACGAATATTTCCGATTCATTACTCCCTCCTTCCATCCACTTGCACGGTTTTAAGTTTACACAGTAAATTGAATTTACCAGCAATTGTACCATATCAAATAAATATGAGTTAGCATTGCCAATATCAAGATGGCTGGATAGAAATAACTATTAGTCAAGATAATTGCTATCTCTAGTTTATATCGTTCAAGTTAGTTGACCCAACTTACGTTTACATAGTTCATTTGTGAGCAGTATTCCTGCTACATATAGATCATCGTAAGTCACAGTTGGTCTTTGCATATTAATCACAGTACATCCGATAGGATGAGACCCTACGAAGCGCCACTCGCTATCGAAACCACTGTTTTGTTCCATATAGTTTGGTAAACCTAAAAATGACATCTTTAAATTCGGTTAATAACGTTGGTAATCAGAATATATTGTCTACCTGTAAAATAGATTTTTGATTTCAATATAAGTGAATTTCATTAATTAATGGCTTTTACGCAATCGTCGAATTATGTGCCATAGAAGATATAGCAATAGTAAAGTACTGCAATTTACCCACAACAAATATATCGATGCCTCTGCTTTTTGCAAATTTGGAAGCATCGATCGTTGCCTTGGAGCGCGGGAACTTGTCACCCTTGGCCCAGGACCGACCGTCTGTTGCGATGATGATAATTCTCCTAGCCCCTAAGCGAGGTCGTCTTATAAGCTGTACAGTTGAAGCTATTATTGCGTCATCAGTTTCTGTGTACATGGACGTGTTTCTTGGTATTCTATCAATCACTGCCATTAACCGCTCCTTTGTTTTGTACTAAAAAGAGGCAAGTAGACAATGTGAGTGATTTTAAGTACGTGTATTTGCGTCACGGGAAGTTGGCGTTTACCTTCTACGTCAGTTATACAGACAAAGTCGAAATAAATACATACCTCTCTCAGCTGGGCGTGCATAAACGTTTCAGAATTGTACGTCAATATTCCAAACTGTAAACCACCATTTTCATTGACAACAGACTGTTCAATGAAATCACGAAAGAAGTTCAGAGTTTTGTCGAGGTCTTCAACTGGTATGCTATCAGATCTGTCAAGTACTAGCATGATGTCAGCAAACTGATTACACGGAGCTAAGATTCAATGTAAACTCCGTTAACATTGTCAGATATATAAAGAAAATAATATACTTTTAGCGGCTTAATTGTACCATATAGACGGGTTGAGAAGCCGTCTGTCGTTCATTTGTCCTTGAAATCGTTACTCCGGGCGAAGCCAAAAATATCGGTTGACGAACTTGGTCCAAAGTGCATACTTATACGTAGTTTTGTATCTTATAGACATTGAATGGCCAAAAGGTAAACAATCACCAAATGATGCATCGATGTCTAATGACATAAATAATTTGCAATTTGTTTTATGCAAAGTTGTTGCATGTAATTTTGAATAGGTGTGTACCTACACGAACATATAGGAACTTGCGAGAGAATATCGTGTACTATATCCCGGGAACTGGAGGCTGCTACATCATGCATTACTCCAAATGGCGAGGTTTGTCGCATGCCATTTAATGCGCTAGGTGCGTGGATCTCCAACCATTCTATAGTTGCATTATAGCCTGCGTCTAAGTCACCAAAAGTTCCAACAATCGTAATAATTCCTTCAGCCTGAAATTAATATCTGGTTAACAATGTTCAATCGAACAATTCAATAGTATTACGACATCTAATAACTATTATGTGATTCTAACAGTTTCATTGCATCAGGTACGGTCAACGTATTGGCCCATAAACTTTAGCAATTGCGTTTACTTAATACTGCTGCACAAAGTATAATATAAGATCATAGATCCTAGCAGATAACTTGTATTTAATCAGCATGGTTTAATTTGCCAAATGGTTAAATGTTATCATTTTCCTAATTTCAATGTTCCTATTGACAAGAAACTTCCCCATTGGATAACATTATGAAGATAATATTTCCAACATTTAATTTGCCGATCCTGGCAAAAATTAGGCAATAGGCAAATGATGATTAGACAAAAAAACATATCATACCAATCCATAGCATACCATTTCATTACCTTACCATTCCATACCATACCATACCACTCAATACCTTACCATATCAGCCCATATTATACCATACTAATATAAACTATACCAAACTATACCATACCAATCCATAGCATAACATTTCATTACCTTACCATAACAGACCATGCAATACAATCGCCATTACAATATACAAGTAGTTACCTTATTAACATCAGATTCCCGTTTAGTTTTTCGTTTAGGCGTATCGTAATCAAACTTATTATTAAATGAGAATCCATCTGTGAATATAACGATAACATTCGGGAAAAACTGATCGTCACGTCCGCGATATATAAGTTCGTGTCTACAGGTTTCCAATGCCTTGTGGGTTTGTGCTTTACAGTGCCAACAGCGCTTAAATTCTAGATCAATTAGACGTATTTTCCTCGCTAGTCTTTTATCGTCCGTGCTGACAGTGAGATTCATGTCCATCTAGAATAAAACAAAAATATTGTTGATACAAAATTATGAAATTGGCCACAATCAATGGAAGAGGAATTTCGCGATGCGTTATCTTAAAGAAACGCGTATATGCATGTAGTACAACCATTTTCAACAATGTTTCAACGATGTTTCAATGGTTTCTGATAACACCCTTGGTATACGCAGCTAACGAAAATTGACCGGCACGGGTCAAAAGCTGGACCGGCACGGGTTAACGGTTTTATTTGAATTTAAAACAGCCATAACTTGCTCAATATTGACTTCCTCGTGTCTAATTTGAAATATATGATGCCTCCCGATGCTTTTAAGTACCCCAATTTTTTACAGATTTTTAAACGGACCAAAACTCTCGAAATGCGCATTTATGCTCTTTTCTCTCGAGAACGACTGTCTCATTTTCACGATAACTTTTATTTAGTACTTCTAACATATAAGATCTATTTTTCCCCATCAAGGTATGATGTAAATGACATGCTATTTACATATTGTGAGTTTCAATGACGCGCGTTTGATTTTATAAAAAATACCAAACTTTGTGACAAAGAATTTCCTCCTGCTTGCAGCGAGAAGACGGACCGGTTCGGGGCAATAGCATGAACATCATTCAGGAATCTTTATTCATGTGTGTTACATCTATTATTACAAGGATCTAAAGTTTCAAATCTTCTCTTAGAACCTCTTCGACAAACCGTTACATGTCCAACTTACCTTCGGTTGTGAATTCCAATGGTTAGAATATTGCCCAACTATGCGATCAGGTCATCGTTCCATCGCTTCTTGGGACACTTTTAATTAAAATATTTATTGTATACCAACATTTATCCCATTCTACGACGCATTTGAGGTAAAAAATAGGTTGGTAAAAGCTGATTAATATTATCCAGAGCAAGTTGGATACAGCTGGAAATATATATATATATCCCTCGGTCCCTGCGGTCCATTGGGAAATACACATATTTCCCTGAGGATAAACCCTGTATCCAAAAACCTCCAACATAATCCATATTCACATGCCGGCTGAGCAGGCGGATGTATCTTCCCGCTTCGCGTTAGACTCTGTTCTCATTATCTTAAATATTTAAGTGCCAAGTGCGCTGGAAAAATCAAGCCATTCAATATAAAGGGGCATGGGATAAACAGTTTTTCCTTTAGTAGGTTCTGAATATTGGTATTATCCTAGGACCATATAATTTATCTGCCCTTGAAACCTAGAACCTCATATAGAGTAATCTCTATTTATCCTATGCCAAGTAGTTTTAGGAAGATAAGTTAGCAAGATATATTCGCATCTGTATCCCGACTCTTAAGTTTCCATATCCAGAACCTACGTATCTCCCGCCATATCTCCCGCTCCCGAGCATATACCTTTCCACTTTCGGCAATTCTAAAAATCTTCTTGGCATAGGATAAAGCAGTTATTTACGCTCGGTTTCGAAATGGGGTTTACTGCTCCGGAGATATGCATTTCCTACCCCTATATAAACTCCATATTAAAATCTCCCCAATGCATAATCCCTTTGTACCCCATAACTAGGAAGGTAAATAGTATGTATCAGAGCAGGTGAATATTATGTATCACTGAACATAGGAATTTCTGTTTTGAAAAGTACGATATGAAATATATATTTTCTAGTTCTCCTAGTAAAGCTCGATAACATCCAATCGCGTTTTTGTCTTTACAAAGTTTAATCTATCAAAGGTTAATCTATTTTCAATCGAGAGTTAGCTTGAAATATCAAACATTATAATATTCTCATACTTGTAGAACTAAAAATGCTTTCCTATTATCATTACTACAATGACGAATATTTGCTACATGGGTCACAAAAATATATTTTCAGTTTCCCAAATAATCGGATCTGGCATGAAAAGCATCCCGAGATGTGTAAATAATTAGAAACGTTGTTATCTTTTTAAATCTTTGAACCTCAGTAACTTGTTCACTGCACGGGGAAATTTCATTGCAACTGCAAGAGAAGTGTCCAAGTAATATCTATGCTTCTAGCAAATATGCCTCTGAAGGTATGTGAAAATAGGTTATGTGCGATCGGTTGAAATACAAGGTTTATCTCTTGGAATTACTGACCTCCGCGAACAGACCGTAGATTGCTAGACATTGTTAGTACCTCAGTTGAAATACTCAATTTTGATTGGTCAATTAGCGGTCAACAATATGTACTGTTGACCGATACTGGGTACTGTTGACCGCTTCTGGGTACTGTTGACCGTTACTGGGTACTGTTGACCGCTACTCAGTACTGTTGACCGCTGCTAGGTACTCTTTCAAAATTATTATTTTTAAATCAGAATTGAAAAAAGAAATTGAAAAAAATCTAAATCGTATTATATGTTTTTTTCGTGAAATATGATATCTTGATCAACTTATCAAATATTTCTTCACGTATTACTAGTATTCGATTATTCTCAGTCAACAGTACTTTCAAGGTTTACAGTATCGGTATATACAAAGTATATACAAAGTATCGGTATATCGTATACTATATGATTTCTATTAGCAGAGAAACAATAACTCAAGACAGAAAATATTTTATTCAAAAATATTGCAAATACGATGTAACATTGAAATGTCATGAGAAAAAATAAAACAGGAACACTAAAATAAGAAACATATACAAAAACATGCGCTTTAGTGATAGTCTACATGTTGAAGTCACTTGTCGTTTTCCTGGTCTATAGGCCTACATGTACATGTATGTCCTCTTTTTTACAATGCGCAAGATTTCCTCTTTGTTTGAATTTTGCATGTCATGTACAAATGTAATCCCTTCTTTTGCTGTGCACATCTAACTCATGTTGTTTTCTCATTCTCCTGCTCGTGCATACTTTTTTACAAATCTTGCATTTCTCAGGCATCTTTTGGATGCAGAATGTTGGATATGCAAAGACTGTGTTCGCAGAAGACGTCGAGATTGAAATGCGGCGGAGGGGACCTGTAAATGAAGCTAATCTATGCAAGCTTGTTAGAGAGTGGTACCAAGCAGAAGATGATCCAGGTACTAAATATTTTTTAGTTAGTTGGTTTTAGGTAGATTTTATCACTCTTCCTTATAAACGTATGTGCAAGTTTTCGAAGGAAGTGTATACAATCATGAAGGTCAAAAATGGACACATATGTTGTATTGTATTGTATGGTGTGGTATGATATGGTATGGTATGGTATGGTATGGATTGGAATGGCATGGAATGATATTGTATGGTGTTGAATGTTATTGTATTGTACTGTATTGCATTGTAAAATTGCATTGTAAAATTACAGTGTCCTCGGTTATAGAAATACATGTATATACAATTACCATTCTAGTACATCACATATAACGGCCACTGAGGTACATCACCTTGTTCCCTAATCCTTAAGATTTTCCACGGGCTTTTGCCACATGTAGGAATATTCGGACATCAATGTGTTGAATTTATCCTAAAACCTGGAATTTTATTTGCAACCTTTGCGACTGATCAATTTATCGAAATAATCAACTGGCTTGATGAGTATCGATTGTTGTTGAAATCAACTATTTTGACCATTTTTAGCAAATATTTCTTGTTTAATTAACACCAACCGGCATTTGTGGGAAATGAGTTGATTTCTCTTCAAGTGGTGTTTTAATTTAAAATTTGCTCAGCAAAAAGTGTGTACGAATACATCGAATCCTGACGTCAGGATACATACAGGAGGTCATCTCAACCCCAAGTCATCTCAACCCAGTCCAACTCAACCCCAAGTCAACTCAACCCCAAGTCAAGTCAACCCCAGTAAAACTCAACCCCAAGTCAACTCAACCCTGTAAAACTCAACCCCAGTAAAACTCAACCCTATTCATTTGTGCAATGTCTAATTTAATTTTTTCATGATGAATAATTTAAGTCATTCATTTCTGAAAATCTAGCGTTTTGCATGATTCTTTGAATAGAAAGTTGTAAAAGAATTCAAAAAAAGATTTAGAAATAATTAACAATGTAATATAATTTTTCATTTATATATGAACATGCATTAACAAATCATTAAGATTTACTAATTAATAGACTGAAAGCATATACAGCCAGGAGGGGTGCGCACACACCCTCCCCCAATTTTGAAGGAAGTTGCATCATTTTTTGTCAAAACATATCTTTTTTGGCACGCTTATGCCACGATCGGCACCCCCTGACTGAAAACCTGATTTTTTGGGCGATCGCATCCCTCCTGACTGAAAGCTGGCTATGCAATCCAATGGTCATGTTCCAGTTTTCCAAATAATCACGAGTGTCAACCTCATAGGGATTACAACAAAACAAATGTATTGGCAAGATTAATAAAATGACCCATATTTTAATCCTATTAGTACCATGTTGACATTTTGGAGATAAACTCATTATTAACTATAATCTAAAAAGGCAGTGGTCTAAGAATGAAAATCACAACCTGAATAATCAGAATTATTTTTATGAAATAAACTTTCTTATAAGTTTATCAATATATAGAAATATAGGGGTTGAGTTTTACTGGGGTTGAGTTTTACAGGGTTGACTTGACTTGGGGTTGAGTTTTACTGGGGTTGACTTGACTTGGGGTTGAGTTGACTTGGGGTTGAGTTTTACTGGGTTGAGTTGACTTGGGGTTGAGATGACCAGGAAGCATACAGGATATGCACCCCGTGTGCCAAACCTGTATGAATCCTGACGCCTGGATTCATACAGGATTGGCACCGAATGTACATATCCTGTGTCATGATTTATACAGGATTGACGCGTGTAGGAATCCAGTATGAATCCTGCATCTGGATTCATACAGGATACGCTCGCAGTGTGCCAATCCTGTATGAATGCTACCGTATGAATCCTGACGCCTGGATACATACAGGATTGGCACATTGTGTGCATATTCCGGATTACATATGCTGCACATAATTTACAAATTATTGATTGCTATTGTTACTAACATTTATGACAAAAAATTCTTTAAAAATCCATGTTAATTTGATAAAAAAACAATTTTCTCAATCAAACAAATAATCTACTTTCAAAAGTACCTATCCTAGTATCCAAAAGTGAATTTCATTAAATTAAGAATGAACATTTAACCATTATTCACAATTGTTTTTTCCCTGGACTATTGTGATTTGATATTTGATGCTTAAGAAGCTATAGAAGACAAATGGTATATAAATAGCAATATATGACAAACCTTTAAAGAGCCTAATGTCTGCAACCTTTTTATAACAGACTTTCAATTAAATGCCCATTATAACATAGTCGCAATGGTGGAGGGATTTGGATATTTGGAATTCCCCCGGCGATTTATTATTACTTATCTGTTTTCAATATTGTTGGTATTTTGCAAGCCTTTAATATTCAATTTGCACTTCAAAAAAGTATTGTTATTCGAAAGGTAATCAAAAGGGTCAAATCGAGGTCAACATGACATTTTGTGATAAATTGTTAATGTGCGAAAGTACGAAATAGTAGTACAGGTATGTTCCAAACGTAACGAGGCTGTTTTATCAATGTTCTACGAATCTAGATTTTATATCACTCGAAACTATGCATAGCCCTTGGTGAGGGGGGGGGGGGAATTACAGACATCTAACATAGCGTTTTAGTTATGTATAATCATTAATCAAAAGAAATAATACTAATAAGTCCACCTTTCTGATTACATTTTGTCCGTGTATTTCTAGACTTATTTACTTATGATACAACAACAAATTAACTTCACTTGCGTCAGCCCATCATCTCCTTGCAAATATAAGTGTATTCATGTTCGACGGGGAATAAGAATTTGTTTACCCGCACCCCTGATCATTATCAAGCCCCCTCTAGATATCAGGCCCGTCACAGGCACGTAGCCAGGGGGGTTCGATGGGTTCGATTTACCCCCCCCCCTTGCAAAAAATCTTTCAAAATCATGCGGTTTTCACCATTCTGAACACGTTTTAGGTGATTTCGGCCATTTTTGGACCAAAATTGGCACAAGTTTTCAGGCATCATGCTATTACCATGAGTGAGTGTCAAATTTTAAGACCCATTTTCCTTCTTTTCCTTAAGTTCCCATGTGAATTTTAAATACAATTTGCAAATGCATCCTAAAATCTGATTATGTTAATGCTCATCCCCCCTCCTCCGATGTGATGCCTGTCTACTATAATTTCAAATGTGCAAGGAAAACAGTTTAAATGGGATGAAATGTATCTCAAATCAGTCTCAAATACTATGGCTGGTGGCTTCAAAATTGATAAACAACTTTCGAAACCATATTTTTAGATGTACTTTTACATGTAGATTTCAAATATGACATCGCTTTGACTGAATTTTGAATATTTAATGAGGTAAATCAAGATTATTTATACTCGTATCTAGTCTATTATTTGGTTCTACACGTTCCTTCCTCATTGACATGGTGACTCTTTGACCTAATAACGTATCCATTTCCTTAATATTGTATATTCAAACAGGGAGAGTTAGTTCAATATAGAAGGAGTTCCATAGTCAGGATCCAGGTGTAAAAGGGTAGGAGGTCCTCTCAAATTATGGTCCCACTCTCCATTGATTTATATGGTGACCTCAATACAACTCTTTCCCTGATTATCTTATACGCAATCAGGGCCAGTAAGGGCCGTTAAGAAAGGGGACCATAATCCCTGGGGGACCATCATTTGTAAAAGGGTAGGAGGTCCTATCAAATTATGGTCCTACTTTCCATTGATTTATATGGTGACCTAAACACAACTATTTCCCTTATCATCGTATCCACAATCAGGGCCAGCAAGGGCCTTTAGGAAAGGGGACCATAATCCCCAGGGGACCATAATTTCTTTTACACCGGGATTAGAAAAACTCTCCGAATCCGAATCATATATTTGAAAACGAAGAATACAATGCCCCAGGTACAATGCCCCGTGCCGTGTATTCACCATTTACTCTCAATCCTGATTATCTATCAATGTCTCCAGTGAGTTTGCTTCTGTGTGCCTCTCCAAGTAACAAATCTAAATGCATACTCTACATTTATCAATGTTAAAATTGTTCTATAATTTATCTGTTTAATTTACAATTTTTCTTTAAAATTGGAGATATGGGAGTCTAACCTCGCATCTTTGTGTACCAAAGATGCAGTGCTTGCAGTTTCTTGAACTGGAATAAGAAGATGTTGTAAAAACAAACAGATATTAATTAGATGGGGCATATAAAAAAGGCCCTGTCTAACAAAGGAGGTGTAAGGGGATTTGGATGGTGGGAAAACAAAATATATGCTTACCTAAACGCCGTATATCAGTGGTAAAACAAAAACAACAGCCTTACGAAATCTTGTTGCGTCTTCCTATTGTTGAAAACCCACGCTATCTAATCCTTTCTTCTCGGTCTCTGATTGTTCAGAAGTTTAGGTCAAGGGCTGTCCTGATTGGTTAGTCAAGCCACAAATTCCCAGCGGGAATATTTAAAACCAACTTAAGCCTTGAAAGAGGCTAGACTCCAATTTCTCTGATAAAGCCATTATATTACATATAATGTTTATATATCGCCCAATGTGGGCCCGGGACTTGAAAAACAGACGTAGACTTCGACAGTGCAAGGGGGGGGGACTATAATGTAGTAACTTTTGGTTTTGTAAAATAGCTGAAATAGTTTGTGACAAATATTAAATACGCAAATAGAGGCAGGTTTTAGAAATGAGACTAGAGGCAAAGAATAATTATAATCATAAAATCTAAAGTAATTCCTCGATGATCTCTTCTGTAATCAAGGTGGTTTTGGTACACTTCCGCAGTTATAAAAACAAAGACATAGACTAAGTAATTAATAACTAAGTAATTAATAAATCTCAAATAATCCCCGATTCATCTGCCAGCGCCCTGCCGATTGAGTATTTTGTTCAGAAATGAATGCAATTCTGAACAAAAATAGAGCAATGACCTGATCGCATAGATGGGCAATATTCTAACCATTGGAATTTACAACGGACATGTAACGGTCTATCGGAGACGTTCTAAGAGAAGATTTAAAACTTTAGATCCTTGTAATAATAGATGTAACACACATGTATAAAGATTCCTGAATTATGTTTTTGCTATTGCCCCGAACCGGTCCGTCTTCTCGCTGCAAGCAGGAGGAAATTCTTTGTCACACAGTTTGGTATTTTTTATAAAATCAAACGCGCGTCATTGAAACTCACAATATGTAAATAGCATGTCATTTACATCATACCTTGATGGGGAAAAATAGATCTTATATGTTAGAAGTACTAAATAAAAGTTATCGTGAAAATGAGACAGTCGTTCTCGAGAGAAAAGAGCATAAATGCGCATTTCGAGAGTTTTGGTCCGTTTAAAAATCTGTAAAAAATTGGGGTACTTTTAAAGCATCGGGAGGCATCATATATTTCAAATTAGACACGAGGAAGTCAATATTGAGCAAGTTATGGCTGTTTTAAATTCAAATAAAACCGTTAACCCGTGCCGGTCCAGCTTTTGACCCGTGCCGGTCAATTTTCGTTAGCTGCGTATACCAAGGGTGTGATAAGGGATTAATATGCTGCATGAAAAATAAAGAAAAGGGAAATTAAAAAATTTCAGGCTTCAAAAAGAGCAATGGGATGTTTCTGGGATGGATTAGCTATGTCAGAAGTACAACATGATTCTAAAGTGACTGAACGGATACGATTTGCAACCATCGATATTTGAAGGGCAGTGGTTCAATGCCGATATAAAATACAACATAAAATACATAAATCAAGCACGAACAGAATTGACTTCATTATTGTAACTAGGCAGATGTATTTAATTTGTCCTTGTTCTAACGAAATCGGCGATGACGTACGAACTCGAAGTGAAATGTGAAAATATATGCTGAAAATGTGGAATTGCAAAAACAAACAGTTTTTCATCATATGTCGAGCATTGTGTCTAACCAAGATCAAGAAAACATTAATATGTCATAATTATAATGAAAGTCAAAAAAGTGTGAGATGTTTATCAACGCTAAATATGACATATATCTCTATTATAAAACGATATATCCTACAGACTTCCAAGTCTTATTGTTTGTAAATTGAACAAAATATATTCCAGTAAATTACTAATATTGGACATCGTTTCTAATTATTTAAAACCTTTCCTATTCTTTATCACATGTATATATAGCACGTGAATGAAGACATACTATTTTGCTGTAGCTACTTTATTGCATGAGGCATAGTGGCTCTCTTTGGGGACAAAAAAGCACAAGCGTATTCAAGGACGATATATATATCAACCTATACATCTACACATAGCATAATTGTATTTTAGTGCTGATTAAACGAAATTCTTTTTTCAATTTTTTTTTTCTTATACGTGTTTTTCATTTTAATATACATTAATAGACATTTATCAATGGAATCAAGGACGTCTATCTCGAGATACACGTCCTTGTTGGATTGCAGTATGAATGGTGCGTGTTTTCTAAAAAATATGATTTTGAAAACAAGACCTGATTAATCAAATGGTCGTGCCTCCTTTAAAAAATTGGCTTACTTACATAGGCCCTGTCAGCATACGTAATAGCTGCGATGTGTGCATCTTCCCCGAGGCGTTCTGTTATTTCCACCATAATAGCACGAGCTTTCTCTAATTGGTCTGCCTTGAGATGACACGATGTTTGCAGTGCAAGGCAGATGTCCACATTTAAGCTATTCAATGGAGGGGGATTATATAAAATTCCTAAAAAAGACAAGATATGCATGAACAAAGGATAAAAGCGAGACACGCCAAACTTGATAACGGCTCCATTTTTTAACATAGTCGAAGATGGCGAGACAAATATTACGTTAAACGACCGCATCGCAATTTTGCAAAATCATAATTATTACTCTCTATTGAGATTAAAGCGCAAATGCCTACAAGAAAACATCAAAAATGGTTACAAAACACAGCACGAAAAAGAAAACACACAAGAAAGCACCAGTCATAAGGAAATTGAACCCGAAATATCCCAAATCACAACCGGTCGTGGAAAGAAACAGTGTTTAATTCCCCTCCCCCGGCCCACCATTCAGAAAACGATACACACTGTTAAAACAGAAACTTTGAAGTGCGATTCATAACTTTTGTAAATTAGGACGTTACCATCAAATGCGATAACACAAATTCACGATGTTCAAAGTAGTACTTTTCATTGTCTAATTGTTCACTGTCCAATGATGTGTGTTCCACTGGCTTGCTACCCTCAATAGTTACCCCTTGCTACCCCAACATGCACAGTAGAAAATTGGTTAACGGTCAAGTCATAATACACTAAATATAATGATACCCACGGGAATTATGGCTAAAGAATACATTTAAACACAAACCTGAATTAAAGGAGACAAATAGACAATTAAAAGATCTTGAATATTTACTTATGATGTTGTTTTTATTGAGTATGGCTAACATATAGACTACTGTGTTATTAATGAGTAAAACAAACCAGGTAGTGGACGAGTAAACAAATGAGAGGAATTACTTCGTTTTAACTTATCTTTCCCTTTTATACGTTCTCGCTTATAGTATTTGTACAAAGTCCGTATATATCAAGCCAGGTTTTACACTTGATAGGTCGTTTTCACCGTCTAGTGGTATGCCTTTACAGGCCTATGGAGAACTACTAAAACTGTTTTGGAAAACTACTGCCCAATGTGTCCTGGAACCTGTTGGGTCCAATCATGGGCTTATTGAATGCCCATGGTCCGATAGAGTCAAGTCGTTTCCGATGGACACCTGTTTTATGGAATCCTGTAAAGTTTTCTGGGGTCCTGTGTAGTCATGACATGACTCTGTTGCCATCGGGTATGGAAAAGGTCCGATTGAAAATGGAACTGCTCATTCGACAAAAGGTCCGGTGGCGTTTTCGCCGTTTTTGCCATGAACTCAATCGGACTTTAGTAAACTTTACATGATATCCTTGGAATTCATAAAAGACATGACAAGACCGATCAAAGAGACAAGCAAAAGTCACCCTTTGACCAAAGTGTCACTTCCCAACAAAACACTAACATCAACTTTGGGTTTCTTCGACGTGATTCGTGAGTGGACCAAGTTGTCTCTATCAAAATGTTTACTAAACGTTATAATTAAACTCGGCTAATTAAATATTACTATCTCAAAAATGAGGCGACATGAATATGACCTCCAATTGAATGCTTAAGACATATTCTGAATTTCCTAGATAACTTTAGATGAAACAACGTGACAAACTTACCACCCAGAGGAAGCTCTCTTGTTGTGCAACTCTGCCCAAAGCCTACCGGGAGGCGAGTCGAGAGATCCCTGGGTAAAGGTTTTCCTTGAATTGCATCGATGATAAGATTCGTGTTAAGTTTTGTCTCGCGCGGAAAATATTTTATGATCACATCATCAACATTTACTAGATTTACATTGTCCGGAAACGATACAAGGACAATAAGTGTGAAAAATATCCAGAATGCGTTTAAAGAATCCATAGTATATCGACGAGACATATGCCACTAGATAAACAGCAGACCATTGAAATTATTAATTTAAACATTCTATACAGTTAGTAAGTCATGCATTCGAACGCGGATTTCTTGATGAAGAAGCAACGCCATTATTTTCCAGTCAATTGCAAAAATAAAGACTTTGTTTCATAAATCTTGTTTTATTTATGAATCTTTGCCTGATGAGGTTATAAACTAATGCTATATAAATCAGAGAATAATGTATTGTAATTACAATAAACAAATATTTTAAATTACGTTTTTGAAAGAAATGCATCGTCAGATGGTGTTAGGCTGACACAATTACAACGCGAATTCTGGATATTTATGTGTCATTATATATTGTGATAAACTCGTAGATGCCATATTGATGATATATTAGTCATAATTGCATAAAACGCTGAGGAACACACAAATAGATCAAGCAAAGCATTGTGCGTATACAAAATGTATGATATATTGTACTTGCAGGGGATAAAATCAACTTCAACGATATAATACGTACAATTTGTTCAATGGGGATCAACTTGAAACGAAGACAGTTTGTCTTCGTTATCCTGTCTTCTAGTGAAAGAGCTAAGAATTTTGTCTTCGCGATTTATCACTCAATCCTTCCAATGTTCAACATGAGTGATTAATTAGGCAGTATAATTAAATTACAATGTAAATTGATATAAGAGAATTTTTAAATTACAACAACAGATTACCACATATAGAAAACAAGGCATACGAGGGTATATCATAAAGTTCTCATAATATCTCTCTAATTTTTTTATTTTTCAATATATTCTGATGAATTTTTCACAGAATGTGTAGTATAAAATGCTGTATATATACGCAAATGTCGCCACCTCTCATTTGCATATTTGTACAAGACTACGACTGTCGAACACTGTTACAGACAATGAAAGCTGTAACAGACGCTAAACGCCGAAAACCATCCACAAAAGGTTGGAGACTATAACAATATGTCACCACTTCTGATGGTGACATAAATATACATTAACACTCTCCCATGTATACCGTTCCGTATTAGTGAAATTGTTGACATTAATACGGAATAAATCATACCATTTCATGAAAAATGGTGACCTTGTCCTACGGAAATTGAGATTATGTTTCACAGCAAGTTCGCATGGCGATACTGTATAGCACATGCTCTGGGGAATTGATTCTACTTTCCATAGACACCAATCACATCTCTGTCGATACAATAATAAAAAAGCCCTAGGGTCCCACCCTCCTTTGTTTACATTTACAAAAACGTGAAAAAATGACAAAAGTTGTCATAACTTTTTAAATCTTAAACTTTTGAAACCGATTTCACTCGCCAGCGACAGATACTTTAGTCGTTGACGAACCGAACATCTCAGTTTGGTTCGTAATATCTCCAAATAAACGATTTCAACATTTTGAAAAACTCGATGCTAGTCCACGTGTTAATACGGAATTGGTCGACTCAATAAGTAAACTCAATGAACGAAGCGTTGCACTCGTGAACGAAATGAAACAATTAAGATAATTAGTAGTGTTATACAATATTAATATGTTTCAACCCGGGGTATGAAACATAATACCTTGAATACAGGTTTCAGTAGCATGGGCATTTAGTTTCAATTATAAATTCATTCGTCATGGAGAGGGTAAGAGTGTCATGCCGGTTTGAAGTATGTACCAAAACCTTCGCAAGAAAATCAAAGTGCCAGCACTAGACACGATGATAGGGAATATCGCATAAGTAATGACAACCATACTACTTCATTTTGCTGTATTAAATTAAAGTGAACAAATGGACAGCTAGCCTCATTTGGTACTAATTGCCTTTCTAAAATGTGGCGTAAACCACATTTTTGAATGAAAATGTCGGAAGAATCAAAAGACTTGTTGTGGTCTTGCCCAATTTCACAAAGACAATGCGACTAACTGTCCATTTTTAACACTTCAATCATCCTCTGGTGTAATGGGAACGTGTTGGGGAATCGGCAGGTAAGAAAACAACTCAACACGTTCACAAAGTACCAGGTAATATGACACCTACCGGGACTTTCGTGGGGTATATTCTTGTGCACCTCAAGAAATACCCCACACGAGATCATCCCCTGAATATAGCTATCAGAACAATTATCATTTCAACTTTTGTGATTTCCCCGGGAATGTATATGATTTAACACCCAATCCGTATTAACAATTGGAAACCGTTTACCCATTCCGTATTAACACGTGGACTAGCATCGAGTTTTTCAAAATGTAGAAATCGTTTATTTGGAGATATTACGAACCAAACTGACATGTTCGGTTCGTGAAAGATTAAAGTAACTGCCGCTAGCAAGTGAAATCGGTTTAAACAGATTTAGATTTAAAAAGTTATGACAACTTTTGTCATTTTTTCACGTTTTTGTAAATGTAAACAAAGGAGGTTGGGGCCCTAAGGCTTTTTTATTATTCTATGGACAGAGATGTGTTTGGTGTCTATAGAAAGTAGAATCGATTCCCCGGAGCATGTGCTATACCGTATCGCCATGCGAACTTGATGTGAAACATAATCTCAATTTCCGTAGGACAAGGTCACCATTTTTCATGAAATGGTATGATTTATTCCGTATTAATGTCAACAATTTCACTAATACGGAACGGTATACATGGGAGAGTGTTAATTGTGATTCTTAGCACTACATACCTTCTTAATCTGACCCTGTTTTCATGTTGTTGTTTTTTCAGTTCAAATGGAATCATTATATTAACCCTCATGTTTTTTCAAGTTACAGATTGGCACCTGAGCTAGCGATGAGGTCATTTAGACTGGAAAAGGGCGGGATAATTGAGTATTTGAGAAATGAAAAGCTACGTGACAACTTTTTTCACTTGTTACAAGTCATGACAAATAGTAAATGAATGATAAAATCGTATTTGGGGACTTTAAGGAAATCAATGCGGATCTATAACTAATCTCAAGTTTAATTAAATAAGTGAACACATATAAACATAAATATCAACAGTGATTGTTTTATTACACTAAAAGGAAATGTATGACATATTGATAGATCACAAGCAATTCATCAAGTCCTCGTTGTGTGTGTTTGTAAGTTAGTGGGGTATTTTAAACAGACTTTCAGCATTACATAGGTATACAGGGTGTCAAATAATTACCGTCCCCTCCTCTACAGCCAAAACCAAGATATTTGGTACCAAGTGTAATATACCATTGGAAAGGTCTTCCAAAGTTACGTTGATTGGCATATATCTGACACATGTCAATCAATCTCACAAATATTTACAATGTATCAATTGAGGAGACCATAGGCCTAGAAACATGGCAATTTTGCGTATTTGGCAGGATTTTAAGTATCAGATATAAGAAAGATCAAAGGACCAAAAGTTAATTAAACATGTATATGGCAATGAATTTAACCAATTTCTGGATAGGGTTAGATGTGTAGAAAATAGAGGTGCAAGGAAAATGGTGAAAACTTTTTTGTAACAAGTGGAATGTGAAAAAGATTTACTTTTTGACGTATTTCTGAGGTCATATCCTTGTCATTTTGATGCTAAAAAGCTGCTTAAAGGATGGTACGTTACCCATAAAGGACATCATAGAAATATAGGTAAATTTCATCCAAAAAACTTGAGAGTTGGTGAGTTAACATTACTTTGGATGATCTTTCCAATGGTATATCACACTAGGTACCATCTATTAAGGTTTTAGCTGTAGCAGGGGGACGGGACTTATTTGACACACTGTACTTTTTGTGCTCTGTATTTATCAACCGATGTCTTATGTCCCTCGAAATATACAGTTCGATGAATCGAGGCTTGCTGAAATGGAAAATAAATGGTTTTCAATTTACAATTGCTTCGCCAATTATAAATTGATGATAACTTTTACAAAAATTGCTCTTACTTCATTGAGTTGATTCATGTATGAAATATCAAACTTATATTGACTTACGTTTGCAAAGCTCATTGGTTAACATAATGCCCACAATATAAAGGTCATCGTAAGTGACATTGGGGGATTGCATGTTGATCACCGAACACTCAACAGGTTTAGATGCCACAAAACGCCATTCTGTTCGATAACCAGTGTTCAATTCAAGATAATTCGGTAACCCTAGATGTAAAAACATATTTAATATAGTATATTCATTATTCATTAGCATATAACAATACTCTACACATACTGTTATGTGACCATTTTACCTGATATGATCTGTTCAATTTGGTCACATGAATTTCCGTTGTACATTTTGCATGCAACAATCCAATTAAATCGGAACAGTTCTAATTCGCAAAATTTGGTCAAAACCTAGATCCGTTGAAACGAGTCCTCCCGCTAAGCGTTACGATAGTTAAGACATAACTGCACGAAATGTTTGTATAGCTCCATGACGTTGTTAAGTTAAAACCCCTACCTACAACGAACACGTCGATGCCCCTTAACTTGGCTTGATTGGCTGCGGCAATTGTGTCTTTTGAGGTAGGAAACGGAGAACCTGTATGCCAGGACCGTCCATCCGTTGCTATTATGACGATCATACGTGCGTCCAGTCTACCACGCAGTATATGCTGTCGTATAGCTTCATTTATAGCTTTGTCTGTTTGTGTAAATTTTGCAGTTGTTCTTGGAATTCTATCTATGACTCGTTGTAATTCAATTATAGTTGTATGCTAAAATGTGTGTACACATTGTTTGTAAAAAAAAGTTTAGCAGTTTTAAAAAATTTAGCAGGTTCACATATCCATGACATCATCGATATATTTCGATATAAAATGTTAGATCGTCAAGCCCTGAACCATTATTCAACCTTGTAACATATACCTTGAAAAAACTTTTCGAATCAATAAAAAACATTAAGTTGTCATTTTGTTTTAATATATGCGTCTGTATGCATGAATGTACTATTCTTCGGACATATATTAGATATACGTATAAAATATGCACATACCTCACGAAGTTGTGAGTGTATGTATACTCCTGAATTATATGTCAATATTCCAAATTGTAATCCAGATTTCCAATGAACTATGGATTTTCCAATGAACTCGCGGAAAAAGTTCAACGTTTTATCCAAGTCCTCGGCTCTTATAGAATCGGATCGATCTAATACAAGTACAACATCAGCAAATTGGGAACATGGAGCTGTAAAATAGTTGATGAGTTTTTTCATGTTTTGCCATTTGATGTTGAGATGCATATGGGATGAGGCAGTGGCACAGGCAAATGTAGAGTTGCAAATTATATTACAATGGTATCGCGCTATGGTTGGGCCATTTTAGTGCATGCTACGCTTTCACATATGCTTTCGTTAAGGCTGCACGCTTTATACATAATGCATTTTCGTTATATCCATACATGTCATAGCTTATGTATTTTCTTTGTGCATACAATCCTACATCTATGACTTCTAAAATAAAGTGATTTAGATGTCACTTAATAACGAATGGATAAGATAAATAATTTACTTGAACATATAGGTACCGACGTGAATATGTCATTCACGATATCGTCAACAATATCCCTATCTATATTGAACCTGGAAAATTGCGGATCATCGCTCATAACTTCAAACGGATGTCGAAGACCTCTCATTCCCTCTATGGAACTAGGTGCCAGTATATTCAACCATTCCATTGTCCCGGTGTATGCCCCTTCAGGGTTTTTAAAGGAACCTACCAATGTAATTATACCTGCCTTCTGAAAAAAACAGTATACGTTGAGAATGAAAATAGTATTCCGAATAGTTGGCTATCGAGTTTTAAAACCCTAATAAGAAATATTGATTCAAAGAGATACGTTAACGTAATAATAATTATCATAGATTTTCCACAAACCTTATTTATCTCTGCCTGCTTAACCGTTTGCAATCTTGGCGTTTCGAAGTCAAACTTAGTTTCAAACGAGACTCCATCTGTGAAAATAACAATGAGATTCGGATAGAACGTATCATCTCTTCCATTGCTTTTAAATTGTTCATTACAAGCTCGAAGTGCTTCATGGGTTCTCGCCTTACACTGTTGACAATTATCCAAAGTGTTACTCATCTTTCGGATTGCTCTTGCGATGTTACTCCCACTTTGTCGTGAATTTGTCCCCAAAGGTATCCTCACCTGGAATTCGCCATTTAGGCTTTTATATTTACCATTGCATTCTCTAGTCTCGTTTTAATGAGATTCTATGAGTTTTGTTAAGTTCCTTCCTCTGTTTGATTACATACATTTATTTGAATTATTTTCTTTGAAAAATAACTTTGTTTTTACAGTTATTTCTTTGTGCTCACTCTCCAGAGGTTTTGATTTATTTCTTAAAAAGTTAATACCCATCGTCACATTTGTCAACAACAAGAGGGAGTATACCCAGGATAAAGAGAAGACCCGTATGTTCAATAGAAAGTTTTATAGAGATGACCCGTCAACGCTGATAAATCCATTGACAGGAAATAACTAATTGATTGATTTACATCATGAACGTCTAAATATAAATGTTCATACGTTTGCTCTGCCACTGTATGTTACTGCACCGATGTATGCTTCTTCCGACAGCCTATCAGCGATCTCAGCCATTATATTCCTAGCATTCGAGATTTGATCACTTGAGATATGACACGAGACTTGTAGTATAAAGCACACATCTATGTTAGACGGTGGTGGTTGGTCATGCAAACCACCTACAACATATAGTCCATGGTATGACTTACGAATGTGAATGATCTGTAGCACACTATAGCGCAGCAGCATTTGAAGCAATATTTATGAAAGTGTGCATGTCTTGATTCTTTTAAAATACCATTTGCTGAAAAAACTCCCGGCTTTCGGGTCGGAAAACGTCTTTCATCACAAGGGGTCAAAAAACGTAAATATTTTGATTCGAACCTTTATGCATTTTATAAGACATAGACAGTTATTTTAAGCATACGAACAAAAATAAATTATCATAATTTAAAAATATACTATTTAATTTTACTGTAAATGTCGGTGTTTATGCAAGTGTGTTTTTCAGACTTTGTTTGATTTTTCAAATATGAGCCAAGCCGATTCAACAAAATTATGTGGAATATTTAGGTAATTTATGAGTGGGAACATATTAGTTTTCTTACCGTTTAAAACATTTTATTACCAGAATTTTTCCATATAATCGCAAGGGGTCTAATAGCATATTATTGTTCATGTTGTACAAAACATAATACAATAACAAATAGGTAAGATTTATATCTAATTAAATGTTACAGAGGTATTGGAATGTTCATATATTCCAAGGGCATGTCTAATAATCAATTAGAGTCATATGAAATCGAACGCCTTGAAATCCTTCCTCGGTGTTACTTGTGGCTATCATCAAGTTTTCTGATGGCTGTTTGTTCTTTGACTTTACCGCTGGATACAATCAAATTTTAGGAAGATAATGATACCAACCTCAAACTTATAACTTAGAAACCTAAATCATATATTTAAAATCATTTTGTATTATTTTCTGTTGCATTGTGTACTCCAAATTGTGAAAAATTGGGATTTTTTTTGGTAATTTTTTGACCTCTGTTAATGGCAGGCATAATTCAGCCTAAAAGCCGGAAGTATATTGAACAGTTATAATAAAAATTATTAGGGGACATATGAAGGTATGTTAATGTAAGGTCAAATATCGCTGCGCTATAGTGTGCTACCAACTCCTTTATTAGACGTCCTAGAGATTTCATACCATGGACTAATATTGACGAAAAGCATCAATGATCGAAGCCCCATATTACATAACCCCATATTCTATGAAAAATGTAGCATACAGTTAAATAGGGCTACACAAGGAGCATACTTAGGATAGATAGCAAAATTAGTTCCACAATCATGCATTTAAACATCTACCATTTTATATTGCAATATACTACACAATATGCAAATACCTCCATTTATAAACAGAAGCATTGGTTTACCTAAGCCATTTGCTATCAATCACATGGTCATTAAGCCGGCCTTTACAATCTTAAAAATGTCAACATAATCATACTTCTATCAATCAATTAACGAGGTCAATTAAATGTTAAGGTCATCTATTGTATAAATATTGGTAATCCTTTAAAAATGAATTGATTACTTTGACGTTTGTTGTATTTAAAATTAAGGTACAAGTGACTGGTATTTAAAAACACTCTCATTTAGAAGTATTTGGTAAACCCACGATATATTATACACCAGATTATTTGAAGCAAGTAATTTGCTGGTATGTATGCCAATCGAAAAAAATGCTAGTTTGAATAACAAGAGTTATAATCTTCCAAACAGGACTGATAGTCACAATGTTAGATAAAGATGAAATGCTAGACTAGTTACGCCATGCTTACCCGGAGGAAGTGGTGGAGCACACATTGGTCCAAATCCCGGTGGTAGTTGAACATCTCCTCGTGGAACTGGGTTTCCTATAATCTTATTAATAATCCAGTTTGTGTAGACACTGTCTGGAAAAAGTCTTAAGAGGACAGGTGCCGGAACTGCTCCAAGCTCGTGTCTCAGCAGTAGCAAACATAGTGTCAACACAACTTGCAAAATATTCTGAGCAAATACAAAATACATAATATATCCTTTTGAACCTGTCGTTAAGTCAATGAAGGGAGAACCTCACACATGCTGATAAATAGTTTTTTTGTCATTGAGCTATTTATAATGTTTTTCAGTTTCAAGGTATTACAAGTGCAATGTAAATATCAGTATCGTAATGTTGATAATTTATGGTATCTTTATAGGTAATAATACATAAGAGATTTACCCATGACTGAATCTATGACTTCTGTTTATGCGTTATATACGTTATAAGTAAAAGTGAATTGACAGTTTGCCTTTTGCTAAAAAGACTTACGATCAATTCCAATATAATTTCACCAAAAATGAAATGAATCATTTTCTCCGCTCAATTCCTTGCTTATATTATTAATCGGATACTAATGACCTTTTACCAAGTCTCATAACCAAGACTTTTTAATTACCAAGTTTCCAACCATTACATTTTAACCATTAACATTTGTTTGAAAACGTTGGAATCATTTGCAACCATTACAAACCATTGCTTGTTCAAGTTGCATTTTACCAAATGGTTGCAACTTTTTTCAACCATTATTACTAATTTGTGTGTATATATGACCAATAGAATAGAATAGAATAGACTAGAATAGAATACAATACAATACAATACAATACAATAAAATACTGCAATACATTTAATATCCAATGGTACCGTATGTGAGGACCGTTATGGGCCCCTATCCGCACGAGGGGAGGATCAGATCGAGGATATACAGCGGAGGAAGGGTGAGAATAAAACTATTAGCATGTCAAATGATATATACGATATGTACGTATACCTTATAGGTCTGACTGACTTTTTCCCACGTAGCGTTTTGTCACCTACTAGTCGTATGCCTGATGGAGCACTGACACACAACGTGCATCTGTGAGTGAATCTGGGGGTAGTGCGACCAGTGGCAGTGGTAACGAAGCGCTAGCTTAGGTATGCATATTGAATGCGGCTAATGTAGTCAAGCTCAATAAAGAAATACAACAGCACAAGGAGCAGTTTGCGGACATAAAATGTCGACTTGACCAGCAGGCCAAACAGAACGGGGAGCTCATAACAGAAATTGACCGACTTCGATTACTGAGTGTGCCTTCGTCCATAGCAAAGAAAATTTCAGCAAATAGGAAATCCTACCAAAAATACGAATTTTCAACCGATAATCCCCAAGTTTGTCAACTACCAAGTGATCAGACCACAAATGCTGATGTTTGTTCTGAAATCAAAACAAACCAAGTTGCCCCGCTTCCAAGCAAATTAGCTGATGTCTGCCTAACACCCCAGTCACATTTGTCGCACGGCAGCCGCAAGTCGGCCGCAGATCAATTAAATCGGTGAATTTCTGCGGCGAGCGTAGAAAAACTACGCTCGCGGCCTCCGTGCGGCCTCCGTACGGCGTATCTAGTTTTTACAGGCCGCAGGGTCGCCGTAGAAATTATAACTGGGAGTTATAATATTTGTTCATTTCTGAGGTCCCCGTAGAAATCAACTGGCTCAACAAGATTGAATCATTATTTGTCAATGTTTCACGATCACTTTTCATTTGATATTACATCCTAGCACTATGAATAACATTTATAGAGATACGAGTACCGACAAATAATATCGAATCCCATTTTATGCTAATATTAGAGGACAAGTTTCTATTTGCAATATTAATTTTAGCGATTTATTTACAACCTCATCCTTTTGCCAAGAACACACACATTTGACAGCCCTCAGGAAATTCCATTTCGTGATTGGGCCCTATATCGTCCATAAGTGTAAATGTTTTTGCGTCATTCATGCGTCCTAGAAAGCTACTGTGTACAAAGCGACAAAGCGAAGGGTTTTGTTACAATCTATAATTAACTGAGTGTGTAGGCAGTGAAAGCCTCGACTGTCAGAATAAAATTATTATTGTGGTTCTACCAATGGCCTATATATCTCATGAGAAGTACCATCTATTGCCCCAACTGCAAATTCAAGTTCTTCCCAGGTGCCCCGCAAATCATTCCATTCGTTTAATGTTGGCATGCTGTTGATTACTTTAACAATGGTTCCAGAGAGCAACTGCAAACTCGCCTATCAAGTAAACTTGGAAAATTGATGTCTGGAAAAGAGGTCACACAAGACGAAGATATTCATGGCGAACTTGAAGCCATTAAATCATTGGAGATCCCCAAAATATTAAAAGACATTGGATATGATTCACAATAATTACAATAATCAAAGAGTTCATTCAATGAATTTGCAATAAAATGGATTACAAATAAACCATTCATAAACGTCTGTATATTTCGTAACGTGTGAGTACCTATTTCATTACTACATTCATTAAAATAAAAACAAGATAAATGACGGGTTTACAGTCATTTTCATATAGTAAATTATATCGTAACCATATCTCTCTTTCGGTGAAAGTATTGAGTTCATGCTAAATATAAATTTTGAAATTATGCAATTACTGTATCGATTTACAGTTATCAAGTCGGTATCGGGACTCCGTTGTCGAAGTCGGTGAAATACACACTACTATACCTAACACCTAGAAATGCATAAGATACTTTGTTTGTCTAATTGGATTGTTTAGTATATTTTTGAAAGTGCCTTAGTAACATCTAACTTTCAACCGATAAACCATTAATAAGGAACAGACAAATAAAAACAAATATATAATCATTACTAATAAGCCAAATTCGTGGCTCATGAAAGCCAAATGCAAGGTATAGTAGAGTGTATTTAGACTCTTTTAAATCGTGATTTTCGTTCACAATATGTGGCTACTTTCAATATAAATCGGAGTATTCATAACGTATTTGCGGGTGCCTGAAGTTAGGATATATGGTATTGCAAGTTATTTAAATCCAATATATTAACATAGAGTCAAGTGAAAGCAATTTCATAACCAAATTTACAAACCTACCTCTACACTTTTCCGTAAATCGAGTCCAAATGGTTGTGAGAAACAAGTCCGGAACGATTTACGTTGGGTAGTATTGGACACCGTGTAAATGCATCACTTAATTTATAATTTATAAATTGTCAGTCTACATAAGTCTATCCGTATCATAGGCATTGCAATATGTAAAAAACGTGTATTTATTTTTATACTTTATACTTAACACCTTATTACACACATGTACGTCAAATGATCATCATATAAAATGTATGGAAATGTACTCATAAGAAATTGATGGATGAAATAAACATAATATTAACTTGACCTTGGAAGTTGAACAAGTTCAAGTTCAGACTCCAGATTTAGACTTTGCTAAGCTGAGTCATTCAGAATAAGCCGAGTCATTCAGAAAAAGATGGATGGATGGATTGAATAGGAAGGAAGGATATGATAGAATAGGAAGGAAAAATAGGATAGAATAGGAAAGAAGGCTATGATATGATAGAATAAGAAGGAAGGGTAGGATAGGTTATGAAGGATAGGATAGGAAGGAAATGATAAATAAAAAGGATAGGATAGAATAGAAAGGAACGATAGGATAGAATAGGAAAGAAGGATAGGATAGAATAGAAAGGAAGGAAAGGATAGGAAGGAAACATAGATAGGAAGGATAGGATCAGACAGGATAGGAAGGTATAGTCCCTGATCTGGTCCCTCTGAAAACAAGTTTTTGTTGTCCGGTACTTTCCCACATGAAATGATTACATACCATTTGAAAGAACAGACTTCCCTCAGAAAGAAAACACCTCTTATATTGATAGAAACAGGGGCAAAAGGCACCAAAATGGGGTTAGGCTAGGTGGCATTCTGAAGTCTCACTTTCTAGTCATCATGTTTCCAGGAAAACCACCTCATGGATTTACTTCAAATTTTCACACATATTACATGGTAGGCAGTTCTAGAGCTGATTAACTTTCCGGCGTCCATCTTGCATTCTGGCGGCCATCTTGGAAATTTTTAGATAAATATTGTCATCGCGATTTCAGAAAAAACACTTTACAGATGTACTTCAAATGTTTACACATGTTACATGGTAAGAAGTCCTAGAGCTCATTCGTTTTCCGGTGGCCATTTTGCATTCTGGCGCCCACCTTTGAAGTTCTAAGATAAATCTTGTCATCACGATTTCAGGAAAACCAAATGGATTCACTTCAAATCTTCACATATGTTACATAGTAAGAAGTTCTAAAGCTGAATAACTTTTCAGGGGCCATCTTGCATTTTGACGGCCATCTTGAAAGTTTTTTAATAAATCTTGTCATCGTGATGCCAGGAAAACCACTAAACAGATTTACTTCACATTTGCATACATATTACATGGTAAGAACTCCTAGAGCTCATTCGTTTTCCGTTGGCCATCTTGCATTCTGGCGGCCATCTTGGAAGTTTTAAGATAAATTTTGCCATCGCGATTTCAGGAAAACCAAACGAATTTACTTCAAATGTTCACACATGTTACATGGTAAGAAGTTCTAGAGCTGGCTAATTTTACGGCGGCCATCTTGCATTCTGGTGGCCATCTAGGAAGTTTTTAGATAAATCTTGTCATCACGATTCAAGGAAAACAACTTAACAGATTTACTTCAAATTTTCACACGTGTTACATGGTACGAAGTCTTAGAGCTCATTCGTTTTCGGGTGGCCATCTTGCATTCTGGCGGCCATCTGGGAAGTTTAAAGATAAATCTTGTCATCGCGATTTCAGGAAAACCAAACGAATTTACTTTAAGTTTTCACACATGTTACATGGTAAGAACTTCTAGAGCTGATTAAATTTTCGGCGGCCATCTTGCATTCTGGTGGCCATCTAGGAAGTTTTTAGAAAAATCTTGTGATTCAAGGAAAAAAAACTAAACAGATTTACTTCAAATTTTCACACATGTTACATGGTACGAAGTCCTAGAGCTCAATCGTTTTCCAGTGGCCATCTTGCATTCTGGCGGCCATCTTGATAGTTTTTCATAAATCTTGTCATTGTGATTCCAGGAAAACCACTTAACGGTTTGTCTTCAAATTTTTACATGGTAAGATGTTCTTCAACTGATTAACTTTTCGGCGGCCACCTTGCTTTCTG